AAGCCTTTGTGTTGTTGGGCTGTGAGATCCAACAGAGAGGTGCAGGTTCTGCCCTCAGGGGGTTTCTTGTGTTCTCACATGGGGGCGGCTGCCAAAAAGCCTCCGGGTGCTTCTCTGAAAGAACCCCACATTTTGGAGGTAAAAGTGAACAAAGACGTTTCTGCTGCATAACTGTTTGCAGGTGTTTACTTCTTCTCTCACGTCTCACTGCTGCTTGCACACAGCAAATAATCCGCTGCTAAAGTTGAATCTCAATTTAACTCTGAAAGTTGCTGTGTAGTATCTTAACGCTGATATATACAAATATTTCAAACTGAACTTAAGACAAAGAACTACAACCATGTTACAAAAGGTTAAAACATTCGATTTGACTACAGACACAATCCCCAAATCGGTACATCAAATCCTGAGTTCCTGTTGCATTTATTGCTGCCATTGCAATATATATATATTTTTTAATCTCAAATCATTTGCGATCATCAGCTTCCTCTATTCAAGGGGAATTGATAATTAGGGCTGTCACCATAACTTGTTGAGCAATTATTGCCCCAAAATGAATTGCAATAAATTATATTATTGTCATTTTCAAACCATTTAGTGCCATTGATTACATATGACAATATAAGAGCATAATAATGCTCTTTCCAAGAACAAAAGGATCGCAGGGCGGCGAAAGAAAGCAGACAAGAGGAAAGAGGCGGCACGATGGACTAAAATGTTGGGTACATTCATTTATATATAAAATAAATATAATATATTGCAACACCAAGAATAGTCACGCTTATTTTCATATATCGTGCGATAAGTCAATATATTACTTATGGCGACAGGCTTATTGACAATGGTTGACCACATCTTCCCGTGTAGAAAGCCCTCCCATGTCACGGTGAATCATATTTCAGCTCCTAAAACCATTTCCTCCTCAGAAACAGTGACCCAATCAGAGCCCTACGGGATGTTTGGAACAACGTGCGGCGAATGCTGGGTCGCCGATAATTAAACGGCGGAACATTTGAAGAATTAAAGCGCCGCGCGTGCGTCTGATTGGGAACATGATGACGAAGCTCGTTGGGCTCAAACCGACGGCGACTGACGAAGGAGATGAAAGGTGGAGAGAGACACGTGTGAGTGTTGGAGGGAACGCTGTGCACACGCCTCACTTTGTGTGTGAATGTGTGAGCCGCCGTCTCTCTGAGTTCTGAGGGTTTGCCCGGTTTTCTCAAGCGACACTTATCGCTATCTCTCCAAGCCGGAAACGCCGCCCTCACCCCCCCATCTCTCTCTCTCTCCCCCTCCCTCGTATCCTCCCCCAGCAGGGCTCGTTGAGCAGTGGGCCTTTGCAAATCTAATAGGAGACAGGCTTTTCATCGGCATGACATGGAGATGAGCTTCCCCTTCCCGCTCAAGGCCGCGCCCCTCAGCTCCTGCACGCCGGCCAACGCGTCCGGCTCCATGACGACGGAGCAAGCCGAGCGCCGCGAGTAACGTTGTTCGTCTGAACGCCGGCCCCGCGGGAATCAGGCTGTCGGACAATAGAGCAACGTTTGTGGTTTCATCTGCACAGGCGCGAGCGCGGAGTCGCGGTCCTCGCCGGAGGATGGACCTCTGGGAGCGGCAACGGGGGGGCGCCGGGGTTCTGTGGCGCTAAGCCGCTTCCCTGAAGAGGCCCGCGGGTCAAATAAACCCCTCCCGGGTGAATCGTCCCTCTACCGGCCTTGTGTTCTTATTTAGAGGCAGGGGGGACACGCCATCACTGCCAAGAGATTCCTGCTCAGGGTCAAAGCGGAGGGGTACATGTTAGACACGGGGGGGGGGGTCACTACACTCACAATCTTACATTCAGAGGTTGTGACCTGCTACTGGTTATGAATGAATGTAACCTAAAGCAGGTAAAGCTCTGCAGGCTCTTTTGATGGGACGGACACTGACACGTGTTCTAACGTGTGCTCTCCGTCTGGTAGACGTGTGCTCACCTGTGTGTGCGTGCACCTGTCGGTGTGTGTAAACACTTTATTGATATTTGCTGGCCGTGACAGCGACGCCTCTGTTGTGCGTTGAGTACTTGGTTGTGTGTTTATGTTCCTGTCTGTCCGCACACACACACACACACACACACACAGTGTCAACACCATAGCTTCACAAGTGTAAGAGGAAGGAACACTTTCCACATCTTTCTGTGTCAAACGTGTTTTTGGTGAAGCAGCTCACCCTCAGATCGCCGTGTTAAAGCGTTAAAGCGCGTTGAGTAAAAGAGAGAGACAAGTACAGTCCACCTTTACTTTGATCTCAGCTACACGCCTGTAAAAAGTCTGGCTGCATCTCACACGGATGATTCCGTTACAGCACAACAAGTTAGGACATTATAGCAACACTATTTAGCTTATAACACAGTAGCGACAGTGAAGTGATAATAAACAGCTTATTACTACAGGGTTTCTTTCCAGTGTCCAGACGCACGTCGCAGCCATCCGAGATCTTGAGGGGCTGCTCGGGTGCGTCTGGTGTAGAATGTGCGAGATGGAAGTCATCAATCGACCTTTTGTTGATTTCTCATTATTCGTGTCGGTGTGAATTTAGGGACATTATTGAGAACGGCACACGCGCCAGAATGTCAACTATGACAGGGAGGCAACGGTAATTAAGGAGGGCGGGGCTTAGCGGACAATCCGTCTACGACGAGTATTCTTCAAACGTCCTTTATCCACCAACCGGAGAAGCCCGTTTGCATCCATCCGTCCCGCAGCGCCTCGCTCGCCAAACCTGACAGGACAAATTACCAAACGCAAGCCACCTCACACGCAGCGACTAACAATTCAGAGAGGAGACGCAAAAACCAGGTGACAAACCTCTTTGTTGGGCTCAAGGTTGAGGAGAAGGATGATGTGAAGCGACAGGTAGGAGACGAGCGGGCGGAGGAAGGACGACGCGCTGCACGACACCTCACACCTCTGTGAGATAAACTAATGGAGCTGCAGGACATTATGTAAAAACAGGCCGGGGGGACGCGGGGGGGTTGGGGAGGTCGGGAGCAGAGAACGAGAGCCGTGTGAATAAAGGACGGGCGTGAAAAGGTGGTGATTAGGAAAAGAGGGAGAAGAATGAGATGATGATTAGCTGTAATCTAAGTGCCACAGATTCCTCTCAATGGCTGCCTCGGTCTCGCCACTGATTACGCCTCCCTGAGCCCACCATCAGTCACGAAAAGACCAGAGAGAGGAAAACAAGACCAAGAGGGAGTTTACGATGTCGAAGAAGAATAAAGACAAAGTTCGATCCAGAACAGCAAAGATGGAAAAGATAGTAGGTAGTTGTGGAGATGCCGATCGCCCGGCAGTAAAAGGATGCCTCTCGTGGCCGTGGTGGGACGACTTGGTTTGAAAAAGCCTCCAAAAGGTTTAAAAATATTTCACATTTCAATAATTCATCATTACCATGTTTCCAAAAGTCTTCTCTTACTGCTAAATGTGTTTCAATGAGTATTGAAATGTAAACCTTCAATCTAAGAGTTCTGGAAACATATATCTGTATATATATATATCATATCATATCTGTAACATCTCCTTCCAAATGAATACATTTATAGATGAAATAAGTAATAAAATAAGTAGGAAATTGCTTAAGCGGCTCTCAACTGAATAAATAGTCCATTTGTTAGGAGTTAACTCCCAGTTTGTTCCCCGCTGACATTACTCTCTACAGAAGGCCACACATCTGAAATATCTCAAAATAAATCCCACGAAAGACCCAAAACGTATCGTATCTTTAAATATATAGATATATAGATATAGATTTAGTTTTGAGCGAAAGGCTCATTAATTCCCCCAAATCTCCGTGAACTGCAGTTGAGTCCCGACAGGACGACATTAGGGGACTCTTGTTCTTCATACAGTCACTGAAGGGTTGCCCCCCCCCCCACAGGTCACCGACTGGTCCGTCCACGTAGTTTGTTTGACAGATCCTGGACATCAGGCTGCAGCAGCCCGATACGCAGAATGAAAGAATCCCACCAGCTGCAAACACAAGTAGAGGCGTCCGATGGTGAACAGAAAACTGCTTCCACTACTGCCCACGACCCATGACCCATGACCCATGACCCCCGCCATGGCTCCACACCGCGTACGCACCTCATCTGAGTGAGAAGTGGGCAAAGCGGAATATAAATGATAATAATAATAAGTGGGGAGCTAACTAACGGCCACTCAGCCTCCGGTACGACTGAAATGTACGAGCGATTACACGCGAGGATGCACACGCGTGGTTCACGCACGTGAAGCGGAGCGCGGTTTTTTTTTGGAGGGAGGGGGGGGGGGGGCACATGCAAACAATCGCTGCAGGGTGAATGTTGTAACTTCGGCTGATTTCTAAAATGAAAGTTCCAGACAGGCAAAGGTTCGATGGGGGGAAACACTGCAGAGCTTCAACCCTGACAGGATGTGATTTCTTTACCTGATATGAAAACCAGTCCCTGCTCGCTGGGCTCAGCTGTAGTCTGTAGTCTGATTTGTGCACACAAATAATAATGTTGGAAAATCCATCATGTCCAGATTCAAGCATCGGTTTGAGTGAAAAATTAGACCAATTCCCGTCGACTCTCGTGACCTTGAAGCACAGACACTGACCTGACTTCATTCACGCCATTGAACTGGACGTTTTTCACGGCGGACACTAAAGTAGCGTGAAAATGAAATATTACAGCGATTCCCACATAGTTCTCCAGCCCTATTTAGGAATGTGTCTGCATACTAATTATGGCACTAGCTACAACTTAACAAAGAATACGAGACGTCTTGTGTTATAACACCTTGAATGGATGGAGTGAATGAAGGAGGTGTTGTGTTATTGTTGCATATCAAAGTGCGGCTACAGAAGACTGGTGAATAAAGCACCGGCTCCCAGCAGCTGGACGCGCTCCACTATCATCCGTGTCCTTCCGTCCAGTTCCCCTCTCTGCGTGACTCATGACCTTGTTTGCTGATTGGCTCCTTGCCTCTGGTTTCCAGGACGACCACTCCATGTTTTTCCAGTTCGGTCCGTCCATCGAGCAGCAGGCCTCCGTCATGTTGAACATCATGGAGGAGTATGACTGGTACATCTTCTCCATAGTCACCACGTACTACCCTGGCTACCAGGACTTTGTCAACAAGGTAAAGCAGCACCTTACGGACACACATGTAGCATGCAGCAGCAGCAGGTGTGTGTGTGTGCATCGCACTAATCAGCAGGTTGAGGCAGAAAATGATAAAGAATGTTATCTGATTGGATAATTGTCTTCCTTTGCCAAGAGATGATTCCACACGCAGCAGGACACTTTAACAGCCAAATGCTTCCTCAGCTATGGGTTCACTGTCGCTCAGGGTACCAGGTCCATTACTTAATATTACTTTAGTCTTTTGGGGAGCCTTTATAAGACGCCAGGCAAACACTGTGCTTTTTGATATAGTTTTTCTTGACATTTGAAAAGATTGTTTATTTTGGTACAATTGATGAAATAAAACTATCAATGACACCATTTCTGAGGAAACAATTGTCTGCTTCTGGGACATAATTTCCCGCTTTCAAAAGTGATTCGATTTGACAGAGTTGCTTGTAAGTGGGTAGCGAATTCCATTTTCTGATTGCTCTGACGGAACAGAAGGCAGATTGGCCGGCATGTCTTTTTAAACGCAGCCACTCGGTGAGCCCCCATCCTCCCAACTCGAGGGCTTAGAGCAGACGCTTTAAAGGAGGCTGGTCTGAGATCCTAAACATCAGGCACAGAAGAATGAAACGCTCTTGAGTCAGCTAATCATATTTCTTTATGATGTGACACCAATGGCAGGATTTTCCCTTTGAACAAAGTTAGAGTAACGATCCGGTTTAAAAGAAGAAAAAAATCAAATGAAAGGTTTCGAAAGAGGATATTAAGTCTATTGGTCTCATGTTGAATGCATAAGAAAGAGTTTTCATATGAACTGCTATATCATATATGTATATGTACTATATATATATATCTATCTCCTGCAGCAGTTCTAACCAGCACCATAAATCTCATCCTATCCCTCGAGTGTGCAGCACACACACTCAGAAGAACACGGGTGATGTAATAGGACACACTGCACACTAAATGCTTTGTTCTGCCTGTTACTCAACATGTATCGATTCCCAAAAGGAACAGCTATTACTCTTCTCTCGCAAAAATAGGAGAAATCTATATGTCATCTAAATGCCACATGTAAGCAAAAGGATCCACAATCCTAAAAATAAAACTTCAGATGGGCACATCAGCTGTAACGTTGTGCCCATAGAAAAACAGAATAGTCTCCATCTTCCTCCAGTGTCCCCCTGTGGGGATAAAGCCTTAAGATTTGAGATTAATATTATGGTATTCATTGATCGGACGCTGTCTCCCACTGCCAAAAGATGTGTTCTCCAACCTGGGAGACGGAGGAGGAACCGCCTCAGACTCCTCTGTTATGTGTGCAAAATCCCATCTCCCTTGCCTGTGTAGGTCCGAAGCACCATTGACAACAGCTTCGTCGGGTGGGAGCTGGAAGAAGTCTTCCTGCTGGACATGTCCGTGGACGACGGAGACTCCAAGATCCAGAACCAGCTGAAGAAGCTGCAGAGTCCTGTCATCCTGCTCTACTGCACCAAGGAGGAGGCCAGCACCATCTTCGAGGTGGCCCATTCCGTGGGCCTCACGGGTTACGGCTTCACATGGATCGTCCCGTCGCTGGTCGCGGGAGACGCGGACCACGTCCCCGATGTCTTCCCCACAGGTAGACCCGAACACAAGCGGCCGGTCTCACCGAGACAGAATTTCACTCTGGCTTATAACTGCTGGTCAGCCTTCAAATGGACATGTGAAATCAACCTGATGCACAAAGCGTTCCAGGTGTTTTCCGTCTCACCACGATTCACCTCACTTGTGCTGGAGAGCAAAGGACACTGAAACCTGTATTACCTCGGTATTCAAAACGCTTTATCAAAATGTGGGGGGCAGATGGGCTTGTTTGCATATATGCAAATACCCCCCTTGTCAGTGCCAGTGAGTGGTGGGCCGCATGCTGATTTCTGTCCACCTGAGTGAGTGAGACTATAATCTCTGTGAGTTCAGTCGTCGTATCTATAAATGTTACGTTGACTTACTGGGTAATATCTAGTAATGTATGCAGAGTAACAAACAGGACTGTCATCATCTATTCCTGTCAATGTTGCTCAGAAAATGACCCTTTTCCCATTTTACGCCGGCTCACTTCCCTTTGCACACAACTCGGTGTATTGAACCAGCAACAACAACAGGGGCTGCCTGAATTTGCGGGTGTGACTTTTCTAAACAGATTCAGTTTAGTTTCTGATAGCCAGCCGTTGCTCATGCTTGGAAAGCCGAGCATGACAACATGAATGGAAGAGGGATCCTCATGTTCAGCCAGTTCTTTATCCACCTGTTTCAACCACATGTGAGCATTTGGGGGTTTTTAATAGCAAAGTAAAGAGCTCCACTCTGGATTTGACCAAATTAACATGCTGTAGGTATGATTACAATCTTGATTTGGTCTCTTAAGCCACTTTGCCACTTTTCGGCCTCTTTGAAAATGCTTTTATTTTTGCCCCCCCCCCCCCCCCCCTTCATCCTTCTCCATATTTCCCAATGCGCTTTGGATGCCTTGCGTCCTCTCACCTCTCTCTGTCGCTCCCTCTCTTCCTCAGGGCTCATCTCAGTGTCGTATGACGAATGGGACTACAACATTGAAGCCAGAGTGCGTGATGCAGTGGCGGTCATCGCCACGGCGACCTCCACCATGATGCTGGACCGCGGGCCGCACACGCTGCTTAAGTCGAGCTGCTTTGGGACGCCTGACAAAAAGAGCTCCAACACCGTCCACTCCAGGGAAATATTGAAGTGAGTCAATCGAAAAGGGGGCGGGGCCGAGGGCGGCGAGCTTGAACAAAGACACATATTAATAACGTGGTCTGAAAATGTGTCCCGCTTGCACGTTCGCAGGGCAACAACTGTAGCAAACCATGAAGGATGAACCATCATTTATAAATATCACACTCGGTTTCTTTTCATAGTTAGAATCCAAACCACCCCATATGTTTGTGTTTAAACTAATACCTTTTTAATTACAGTTTTATTTGTAATACTGCAGTAAAATTATTGGCCACATTCAGATTGTCAGCGCTGCCAGAAGAACAGAAGGTGTGTGCCTCATTAATTTGATTGACAGCTGGCTGTCCGGCTCCTTCCATGAGCTGGTGTGGATTCTGGCCTGGCACATGCAGGGTTACTGGGATCCGGAGTAAGTGGCCATGTTGTGGCATTTAAGACCTTTTTACAGGGTTCTCATTTTAAAGTGAATCATTAAAAAGTGGGATGTACACTGAGTTTTAGATTTTAGTTGTTTATGTCGAGTTTGCCGTTGTACACTGTTCATGTGACATGTAAGAAGTATTACCAGTGAACCCGCGGTTTCTTTGTACACAAGCTGTCATACTTTTCTTCCACTTATTATTTGCGTATTCTGAGCCTTACTTTAGCCCTATTACTGTCTGATGAGGTAAAAAATGGAATAAAAATGTAAAGATAAAATGAAATATCTTACAGCGATAACGCGTGAAAACAGACATGAACAAATGAATAAATGAATGTGCTGTTGCTTATGCTGCAATTGAAATGAAACAACTTGTCTTTGTTGGGACCGTTGCACAGCGCTGTTGACTCGTGAGAATAACTCATTACACTTCATGTTGCTGCATGATAACATGTAGCAACCATTCATTACTTCATGCACTGAGTTTTTGTGTCAGGTTCTGGTTTCAAGGCCTGAATCCAAACGCAGACACCGGACACGCCTGGGAAGCGCAGCAGGTCTTTCTTGGAGAGAAGCTGGGCGGACGGGGAGGTTCTGGCTGGTGGGACAGTTTGGCTTGGCAGGCAGAGACCTGGTGTAGTGAGCACGCTGCAGGGGCTGGCGGGCTCGGCCGTAATCCTGGATACAAGGACAAACGGACGCGAGACAACAAGGAGGCAGGCGAACAAACTTATCGGCTACGTGATGATTTGCCCGGTGTGCCAAGCGGGCATGCAAACAAACACTCATACTGATAAAGGAAGTAACAGAAACACCACAGGCAGGTGTCCCCGAGTGGAGGCTGTGGCATTTTGAGGTAATGCATTGCTGATTCGACCGGTGATTGCCATGGCAACGGTCTAGGTTTAAAGCCTTGGTATCAGCCCCACTGCGGGCTGTCAGTGTGACATCGTGGTTAAATCCTTTAAACGCATACTGCAGGCCGTTCCAAAAGCATCTCATATTTCTTCAGGGAGAGCAGGTAGTGACAGGTAGTGAGCATCGGGGGCTGGCGGGTTAACAAAGGGGTCTAATGCTCCTCGGAACCAATCAGTCTGCTTTTACATCACAAACAATCTGGACTGCACGTAATACTGCACACTAAATACTGTTTTTGTGTCACGGACAATGCAAAAAGATGGGCAGAGAAAAGAAGATGAGTTAGAGCCCAAAGGAATGATGGTAAAATCAAAAAAGTTGGAGACGCTATGACAATAAATCAAGCAAATATGCGACCACACACACACACACACACACACGGCGCAACGTAGACTCAAAACACACACAGAAACGAAGGCGCGTTCCCCGAGGAGAACCAGAATGTGTTTAATTAGCCAATAAAAACGTGAAACACCAAAGGAACCGGGGCATAACACAACGTCTTGTGTTATCTTTAGCTTAACCCACAGCCATCTTCTTCCTCTGAACCTCCTTGTTTGTGCTTTTTGGCACATTACAGACCAAGCGGGAGCGTTGGTTTCAATAATTAATCCCCATTTAACTTCATGGGCCATGCTGTTACAGTTTGCATTGATCAGAGATTCCACAGTTAATTGAAAGCTCGGGACGAGCGGATTAACATAGAACTAGTGAGGGGTTATCGCCAGCACACAGAAACACACGCACACGCGTGTGTGTTGTTATAGCATGACATTTAACTGCTCTATAGGGTTTAGTCTAATACAACTATCAAAGTCCGTGCTTATTAGATGTTTTTCACTCCTATAACACGCCTGCCTTCCATCTCTGGCTTTTTCCCCCGAATATTTTCTCTGTTTTTGTTTGTTTGCTTCACTGTCAGTCTGAATTTGAGGAACGTGGAGATCCCGGGAAACGTTATGCAACCTCCCCTGCCACTGCTGCATTAATCCTCAGGTTGATGTATTGCTGCACACGTCGGCCTCCTCATTACACGTGTTTCTGTTTTTAACATTAGGAGGAACTTGAGCGCCACCAAACACCACTGAGATAACAATAAGACCGCAGCCAAGAATAATCCAGACTGTGGGTTGGCCCTCGTGCACCCGTCAGGCGCACGCCAGGGACGCTCCTGTGTGTGCGGCTGTGTGTGTTTTCCAACCAGCCATCCCATTTTTCTCCATTTGACCAAGCAAAAGTAGAGGCTCTGGATGGGTGGATTTGGGTTTTGACCCCAGGGGCTAGAAACAGCCTAACGCACACAAACAGCAGTACACACATAATCCATGTATTCCATCCCTTCACCCCGAGGGACAAAGGGATAACGAGGCCATGTGTCTCTGCGTGCTCGGTCAGCGCTGATGGACGGAGGTGCGAGGCCTCCGTGAGTCACGCTCACAAGTTGTTTAGGGGCTGCGCGAGCTCTTACACACTCCAACAACACAAATGAGGAAACCCGCACACAGGCGCACACCCAGAGCTCTACAGGACATCCGTAGTCTCCTGCCACACAAAGAGGACATGGACGCCTGGATAATGAGAAAATATGCTCCAAGTGGTTTTGGACGATGCGCCAAAGGGACTGAATTGTGTGTCTGTGTGCGTGCAGTGTTTCCCCTTGGTACACAGCTTTGGGGGGCGGTGCGGACAGACTGAGGGGGTGGGGGTGTTGACTGACAGGGGGGCTTGCAGAGCTGGTGGGAGTGTGTGTGTGTGTGTGTGTGTGTCGGTGTTGAAGGAAAGCTCATTTCTTTAAATGTATGTGATGCATGTGACTGCCTGTACGCGTGCGTTCACATTCCCTCTCTGATCCCGGTGCTGGTTGAGACGCCACATCGGTACATCTGGATGTGAAGAGGTGATTCATATTCCGTTCGGGTCCGATCCATCTGCTGGAGCTCAGTGGAGAACCTCACACGCCCGTCGCCCTCATCCTGGTTCCCCTACAGAGTAGAGAAGTGATATTGCATTTCGTAATGGGTTCCATGAAAGCGGCCGTGTAATAAACCCTTGGTGTTTGTTGGAAGGCGAGCGCTGCCTGAGGAGCCGCTGTGCGTCTAGAGCTCAAATGGCAGAAAGGGGTCAGCGAAGGGCACTTGTGTGTCTCCTGGCTCCCTTTCCTACCTACGCGTCACTCATTCTCTTGTTAGACTCTTTTCCACCGAGGTCTCTGGACTCAACTGTGAAGACACTTCTTGATCCAGAGTTTTGTTCCTCTTACAGCAGTCAACTCTCACCCAGAAGCACCTACGGTGAAACACGGCTAAGATTAACAGCAAGGTTGATCCTCATTTCCTATATTAAAATACCGTGTAGGGATTATTGGTGTGTCCAAGGACAGTGTGCCACATTGAGCAGAGTTCAGTTTTGCTCACTTCACTGCCTGCGTCCTTTCCTTGTTTCTGTGAGGGACGTTTAGATGTAATCACCTGGGACTGGCAGCATGGCCACAAACCCACATCCCGGTACCTGACCGTATTGACATTAAGTCACTCAACCCGATCAGCTGTTCGCCGCTAGCTGGCCGGCGGGTTAGCGGGTTAGCGGGTTAGCTCGTTGTTTTCTGATCTATCATAACTTATGTCGGATTTTCCCGGCTCTGAAGAGAAAGCGGACGCAATAGTACCGTTGAGACGGGGAGGTCTCAATCTTAATATCTTGAGCCACCTCCCCTCTCGCGTCATTCCGTTGATGTGTCACAAGCTGTGTCGTGGTGTTAAAGAGTCTTTGTTGGAAGTTATTCATTGCTGTTATAAAGTTATAACCATGGCTCCATCTTAACACACGCAACACAAGTAGCTCCAACCGCCGTAGGCTCCTCGATGACGTGGAACAATGAATCATGCCGCCTGCCGAAGAGCAACGTCAGTTTTTGTGGCGCAACGCCGGTATGAACGATACGCAATAACCGTATCGCACAGAAACATTACGCTGGTATTCTGCGCAGCCCTGTAATCATTATTGAATGTGGCCCTTTACTCATCCGAGTGTTCATCATCAGATCTGTGAACACGAGGATCAAAGCAGTTACTGAATATCCCGTGTGAGAATCACTACGGCTTTTTGTTGCTATGTATCGTATATACATTCATTATTAATGAATAGTCATCATACTTTGTAGGAAGTGACACGTGTGAAGGCGTCGGCTCTCAGCTTTTTCAGCTGCTACATGAAGGAACCCAAAAGCTCTCAGACACTCTGACAATAATCAGAGACATGGGTGGATTTACTTGGAGTTCAGGCAAGGTCAAAACCAGGAGATCCGTCAGCAGGCCAACAAATCCAGAGGGGCAGGCTGGGGATCCGCAGAGAAGAGCAGGCAGGGTCAGAACCAGCGATAAAGCAGGCAAACTAATCCAAGAAAAAGCAAGCAGGGAATTTGTGGTCAAAAGGCCGGCGAGGTCAGAACAGAAGTATATCGGGCTAATTTAGAACCGCTGACACCTCGGCAAACACACAAGACAAGCGTGGGGACCTAAATAGTGAGGGACTAATGAGGGGACATGAAGGACATGAGGGTGAGAGGATCTCGTGTTGATAACAGCGACAGAACAAGACACAGAATTCATGACACAACCACTATAGAGGTTTTTTGGGGGGGAGAGAAGAACATGGGTTTAACAGACCAGTGTCCTCATCCTGTTCCCATTTCAAATGAGAGGAGGCTCTCTCTGATACGGCCCCCCCCCCCCCGACTCCCCCGATAGCCGATCATCAGGTCCTGTCCACTCACTTATCAGAGAGACTTACCTCTTTTCTATGTGTAGCCACATCACTCATCATTTATGCCAGCGTGGTGCCACCAGCAATAAACTAGTATATTGATAAAGAATCTTTTCATTTTTTTAACTTTCATTTTGTTTGTCCCATTAACTATTATTTCCAAAGTTATTGTTTTATTTGAAGGAGGCATTTTCTGTCGTAGCTCAGTTTAGGCTGAGCTGCTTCAAGTCAGGAACTGACTGCTCATTTAATCCGGTTGGCAGTGAGAAAAGCAGATAGATAACGAAATCAATGTTTATTAATTACACATGCCGCAGAAACAGGAACATTATGAAAACTAGTTATTAGAGGGGAAATTATGGACCACAAGATGTCGTATTGTAAATTATGCACAAGTCATTTTACAGTTTTGGGGGAAAAATTTGATAAAAACTTTTGATATTAGAAAATATAAATCATAAATATTTAGATGTGAATTAATTCATTCAGTTCAAACCAATACAAAATAACCTAGTTTTAATACACATAATTATACCTTAAAAAATTTGTTTTTACAATCTGCACAGATTTTAAACAAAATAATTGGCACGCTTGTGTTTCAGATTTGAAATATCACGATGGAATGGTGATGCACTTTGGATGACTTGATTCAAATCATTTGTTTGTGTTGTGATACCGTAGTGAGTTTTACTTCAATCTAGTCTCAAGCTGCTGTTCAATTCAAGCGTATTGTTCTTATTACAGTTGAAAAGCACTCTCGTTGTTAGTAAATGTTCTATATTTCTTTGTGTTGCGTTCGGTCTTGGCTCTCTTCTTTTGTGTAAGGTAACTGTTTAAGTTCATTTAAGATATGAATGGTTTTGTCACATGGCACGCCAGTAAAGACCCCTGATACAGAGCGCCCGTCTGGGGGCTTCAGACCGGGGAGATGGCGTCGAAACGCCCAACACGCCCAAATTGTGAGCAGCTACCTTCGCCCCCAGTTGAAATCGAGAACCTTTCAGCCCCCTGCAGCCGCGCCGGAAGCTGCTGACAGTGAATCTCGGGCAGTGCTTGGGGGCAACGGGGGGACGTGACGGGCACGTACCAGGCTTTTGAAGCGGCGTATCTCCCGTAGGGAGAGAGGAGCCTGTGTGAGTTAAACCTCCTCAGAGGCAGGTCTTCCACAGTCATCCCAGATTATGAGTCATCCACCCAAACCTGATACAGTATGTACATGTGTGTGTGTGTGTGTGTGTGTCTCACACGCATGCACAGCGGGGAGAGAATTTTTTGCATCCCTGCATTGCAGTGACAGAGAATTTGCGACGCTGCGCGGCTTCACTGTAAAAACAAAAACCATTGAAATGGCTCCATATTACATTTGAAGAGATTTGAGGCTCGTGTCCATGTCATTGGTGATGCAGTGTCTCTATAACTAGTACGGCCAGTGATTAGTTGGGGAACAGTTGGTGAGCGCTGCGCACGGCTGTGATGGAGCCGCATGCGGCTCTGCTGGTGGCTCATTCCGCTGGTTTCTACAAAGTCAGAGTGGAAATCAGATACGAGGAGGCCACATAAAAGCTACATCAACATCTGTGGGATGCAAAGCGATTAACACAGCAGGCGTCGGCCCTTGCGGAGGCACAGGTTAATGTACGGGCAAATGAATCCTATTCATGCGTGATTCAACACGCCACTCAGAGGTGAGCCAGAGAGATTGATCTGAAAGTGAGCGACGCCATGAAGGGAAGTGGGTAAACAGTGGGTATGGAAAGAAAAATACTCCCTCTCTCTTTTTTTCCTCTCTCTTTCAACCCACCTCTCTCTCCAGCGAGATTACTGTTCCCATGGCAACGCAGCTGATTGCATGAAAATTGCTGTGGTTGTGGGTGCCATGGCAACACATTGCATTTTACTGGTGTCAAGAGCCTCCCTGCATGCGTCCCTATGATGCAGGGGTTTTTTGCGCTTCCATGCGTGTCACCCCATCATCATGACACACACACAGGTTGCTGGTCTCACGAGTTGCCATGTTGTTGCGGCGGCAACAAGTTGGACCTCCTTGGGCTCCACCAACACCGCCTTGATCTCTTTGGTCCCCTATTCAAACCCAGATTATGTAGAGGAGACTGATCCCATGTTACAGGCGCATTACAGCACTCGTAGCGAGCTTGCAGCAATAGGCATTTCATGGCGGCTTGAGTCATAGTATTGGCTTTCTCAAAGCTTGTAGCCTACTTAGGTCTGTGTATGTGTGATCGTGTGTGTGTGTGTGAGGTGGGATATAAATATAGTCAAAGACGTTACAGATAGAGGTACTGAATGTTCAAGTAGGAGGTACTTGCGATAAAATCTTGGGTGAATTTCAGGCCCCGTTGCTCATCTGTTGCTGGTTTATTCACGGGTGAATGGATTTATTGTCTTTTTGTTCACACAGTTTGTTGGAGATGATGGTGGGTAGGAAAAGTCGGCGCGCACACAGACACACACGCAGAGCCCCGGACTCCTTGCATTCAGACAAGATGTTTATTCCTCCGGTGGATTGTTTCAGAGGCAGAGCGTCTCCATGGTGACGGCAGCCCACAGATCAGCACGAGGGAAGGAGGCGGCGGCGGCGGCGAGGAGGGAGATGATTCCAGCTTACTCTCGTTGACACACATACACGCTGATGTGTATTCATAGAGGCGCTGAACACACTCCATTCCTCACTCTCTCTCTTTTCCCACTTTTCCCTCCCGGTGTCTTTCTCTCCGCCCTCCCACCTCTCGCTGACTTTCAAAGCCTCCATCTACTGCTTTGTTATGTTTCTCCGTCTCCCAGCTGCAATATGTCACTAAGCTCCACATCGGGTTATATAACCTCCACAAAATCACAGAGCCCACTTCCTGGTCAAAGAGTGCAGACGCATCAAGGTTACTACTGTGTAGTAATAGTTGAAAAGGAGGAGTAAAACAACATTTAACATTAAGAAACGTAAGAACGTCATTGGATCAAGTGGGTTCTTCCCAGTGTGGGAAACCTAACTATGGCAACAATAGGCAGGGTCCTAAACCGACCTCCAACCTTTAAAATCAGTATCCTCCTCTGAATGAATCACACACACACGGTTCAAGATACTAACGTGTAATTCAGCATCAACAAAGCAAACATCCACTAAGACAATGTGGAGAATATTTATGAAATAGGGTCCATTATTTTACACGCGCTCTCTCCGCTGCTTTGAACGGGTCCGCCTGGTGACGGGAGGAGAAGAAGATGTCCACTGTGACGGCACATGTGTTGTTGTGGTGAACATAGTGTTCAGCCGCCAGAGAGCCCCACGTTCCCCTCAGGAGTTGGCAGGGCAGCAAAACAGAGCCACCGGGGGGTAATCATTGGACTCGGGCTCGCCGGGTGGCCAGAGAGATGCCTGTGTGAATGTTGGAGGAGAAGAAGCAGCTGTTTGCTAACACGTAGCCACCACAAGCCTCGTCATGACATCGTCAATGATTTGCCTTCAGGCCAAATGACTCATTACATACATATATTTCTGACTCCCGACTCAGGTACCTCATGAATGTGACGTTTGAAGGCCGTAACCTGTCATTTAGCGAAGAAGGTCACCAGATGTTCCCCAAACTGGTCATCATTCTCCTGGACAAGGACAGACAGTGGGACAGGGTGAGTGTCTTCTTCTTCTCTCTCATATTTCCGCCGTGCTCTTTTCATCTGCTCCTCTGACATCAACCCGTACCTGCGTTCCATTCCGTCATTCTCTCTCCCTCGAGTCCATCTTCTGCCTTCATTTCCCGTCGAGTGTCTTTCGCCCTGCGTGATGCGCCTGTCACATCCTCATTTGGAGTGGCGCCCTGCCGCGTGAAGTACCTGCTACAGTGGCCCGTATATCACACAGCCCTCCCCCCTACTCACTCCTGCAGGTTGGCAAGTGGGAGAGAGGCTCTCTGACGATGAGGTACCATGTGTGGCCTCGCTTTGAGCTGTACTCTGCGGCGGAGGAGCGCGAGGACCACCTGTCCATCGTGACTCTGGAGGAAGCGCCGTTTGTCATCGTGGAGGACGTGGATCCGCTGAGTGGCACCTGCATGAGGAACACTGTGCCGTGCCGCAAACAACTCAAACTCAGGTGATTATCCAGGCATTGGTGGCGGCGGGGGTCTATTTGTTTTCCCTTATTTCCCCTCAAAACTTACATTTCGGTGGGAGTGAATTGTGAGTACCCTCTCAATCCACGATGAACCCTGTAGCTCCAATTGTTGGAAAGAGAAACGTATTTTGTTCTTTATCACACGTAGTTGCAGGCATACAGATTTAGGCATCAATACTTGTTGTGTAACCCTCTGAATGTTTCAAATCACCGGTATTATAAAACCATAAAACCTTAACCCATTTGGCAGAATATTATTTAAACTGTGATTCTCATCTTTCACTTTACTGAATTTCAAAACCAATCAGTTTCCTCCTTTCAGAATCTATCAATGTTTTTCTGCAGAACTGGTAACTTCACTTCTGTTAACTAGATCGTTGTCTGGGTTTCTGTTACTGTGATGCTCCGTCCCCGACCTCTTCACCCTCTCGCCGTCTACTCCACCTTGGTGTGTGTGATGGTGAATCTTCTTCAATGGCCTTGTTTTCTATAGCTGGCGTACCTGAAATCTCTCGAGGGCGTCTTACATCTTCTGGCTCACTGCCTTTGTTATTGACTGATCTTCGACCCCGTTCTTTCTCTTATTCCCCTTTTCTCTTCTCTGCGTCCGTCTGTCTGTCTCTTCCTTAAAAAACAGCTCTCATACAGTGTTTCAGGAATAGAAAGCAATGTACCCCAAAGAATAGGCACGGATTTCCCCATAGGCATCTAATTGTGAAGTTTTTTCTTTGGATGCGCAAAAGCCCAAATACGCAATATTGCATTTAAAGGTGCAACGTGTAAGATCTGGACAAAGATAGCTGCATTAAAAAAAAATCAACTGAATTTGAAGACAGTTGACGTTAAGTCAGAGACATCCATGTGTTTTGTAGTAGAGAGATTGAATGAAATGATTCTGCTCAGCAGCTAGCGTGTGTGACAGACACAGCGAATCAATGATTGAGTTACTGCAACCACAAGATTTCCTTCAGCCTGCAGCCTCAATATGTTGCACGGTATGTGAGATTAGCCGTGGCCGACACACCGATGCATTCCCTTAGTCATGCACACGTATGATGGGTCTCAGGATCTTCTGGCACTGATAAAAATGACTAGAATGAGGAAACATTGTTGCCATTTAAAGTTCTGTCGAGGAACATTGATACTGAAATGAGGCGTTTCCACTGGCAGTTCCTGGGCCCGTCGTTTCTTCATGTGTGAACATCAATGAAACAACTTGCTGGAGCTTTGGGATGAAATGAAATCCTGCATACTCTCCCAGCACTTTCATTCATTTTGGTTTCATCTCTTCTGCTGTCTTGTCTCTTGAATCTGCTACTTTAATCCACCAAACCTCGTATAATCTCCTACTCCTGTTGACCTTTCTTTACATGTCGTCCTCTCCTTTCTCTGCACCGTCTGCCAGCAATCAGACTGGCGATTCAGGGATTTACATCAAGCGCTGCTGCAAAGGTTTCTGTATTGACATCCTGAAGAAGATTGCCAAGGCGGTCAAGTTTACTTACGACCTCTACCTGGTCACCAACGGCAAACATGGCAAGAAGGTTAATGGGACATGGAACGGCCTGGTTGGAGAGGTGAGGACACGTCTCTGCGCTTTACACAGAAACAAAACGCCGCCGTTAGACACAGGGAGACACGCGAGCACACAGGGAGACACGCGAGCGCGCTTCTGATAATGTGTTTGTGTCAATTGTGCTGTACAGCCCATAACTGGGCCTGGGGGGCAGCTGTGGGAAACCTCTGGAGGTGGACAGAGGCTCAGAGAGACAGGGGGCAGGAGTCAGGGAAAGACACACTTCTCTACTGCGCACATTAAATATTCAGCGCAAACCTTTACGAAGTGACGTGCAACCTAATTGATTTTGCTCGAGCAAGCAGCTAATGAAGTCATTTGAATGAGGGAGTGGTCGGGGGACAGGACAGCAGGACAACAGACGCAGAAAACCAAGGAAGAGGGCCTGTGAAGACGGCATACATGTCGCTTATCACCGCACTCCACTGTGCTTCATTGTTATTCACAGTCTGAGACTGCAGGTAAAATGTACCTGAACAAAATGTTTCTTGTGCCTCTCTGTTTTGACCGATAATGTTGGGAATATTCAGCACTGACCTTCCTCCTTCCCCCCCGCCACCCGGCATCGCCCCCCCCTCCCGTCTTTCTCCGCCTGTGGTTGACCCTTAGGTGGTGCTGAAGAATGCCCACATGGCAGTGGGTTCGCTCACCATCAACGAGGAGAGGTCCGAGGTCATTGACTTCTCCGTGCCCTTCATCGAGACGGGGATCAGTGTCATGGTCTCCCGTAGCAACGGCACCGTGTCCCCCTCTGCATTCCTCGGTGAGGAGACAGGGACTTTAATCCTTCAGCAGATGTTCGACACAATCGCGAGACACGCACACACTCCAATAATCCAATAATAAATGCACAATCACGCACAAAACAAGGATGCTGCTTAATTGTGTTGATTGGTTTGTTCCAGCAGCACGAAACACGAGAAATCAACAGTATGTTGTGTAAACGCTGTGAGGTTGAGCTTTTCTTCAACAATCACACCACAAACTCCTTTTAGTGGCGGACACACACACACACACACACACACACACACACACACACACACACACACGTTGTCTCAGACCTGCTGGTCTTAATACAACACAAGGCGACTTCTTGCATTATTGGTGTCTCAAAGTCTTTAGCGTTGTCATCCTTAAGTTTGCGGTCCTGTTTTATATTGCTCAACTTGTTGTTGCCATAGGAACAGCAAGTGTGGCCCAATCGTCCAAGAATTCTGGTTGAGCTGTTAGTTCTGTGGGAAACGCAACAGTAAGGTCTTTGTTTACTAAGCAGTCAAACCAGCTTCGTACAGAGGTCCGTCGAGTGTTCATGAACAAGGTGAACAGCAGGGCACAGACGTGTTGCCATGGCGAGGAGATGGAGGGGCCACAGCTCACTGTGGCGGCCCCTGCTTGTTCCATTACTCCCAGTAAGACATCAAATGGATCCCCAAAATGTTTTGTAGACACATTTATGGGGAGCTTTTTGTGTCAGCCTTTAGATACCACATGTGAACCAGCAGCAGGTATTAGTGAGCTCTGGAGGGGCTGTAGAATGAACAGCACATCATGAGGCTGTTAACTATTCAGCCAATATAATTGGACAACATATTCTACATTTTTCGTAACATTTACATCTCTATTGGCCGATGTAGATCGTGCAATATAACTTAAATCCCCACAGCAGCTACTGAATGGACCTTGTAGTGAGATTGTACAGTTAACTGCATCATGGTGTCAGTGCCGGACTCTTCCGTCTATGCAGATCACAAAGCAGGGCAAGAGTGGTGGGAAATGTGCCCACTTCAATGAGTACATCTGTCCATTCACACACACCAACCTCCCTCTTGGTTTCTCTCTTGAGATGTGCTCGTTACTATTCACGCAAACGCAGGCACAAGCCAACCATCCATCACCGTGCAAAAATGAGCACACAGTGTGAGTGGAAGTCATCATGTTGATAACAGGGGGGGACTTTTTATCATTTTCATAATTTAGTTTAATCAACTTCCTCTCTCCCTTTCCACATCTCTCCCTCCTGCCGCTTTCCTCTTCCTCGCCTCCCTCCCGTACACCCTCCCCTTCTCTCTCCCTTTCTGTGCTTTAGAGCCCTTCAGCGCCGACGTCTGGGTGATGATGTTTGTGATGCTGCTGTTGGTGTCGGCCGTGTCTGTGTTTGTGTTTGAGTACTTCAGCCCTGTGGGTTACAATCGTTGCCTGGCAGATGGACGAGGTGAGAGGATTGCACACACACACACACACACACACACACACGCACAACCTCAGACCCAGTCAGTGCGTCCTCCAGAAAGTGACAATGAGGTTAATAACCTGGCGACCTCACGTGGCGAACTGAAGACTTACTTCATGCATGTTTTGTTACCTTAAATGCATCATTCGAACAAAGCTCCTCGTGCGAGAAATTACTGTGACAACCCCCCTGACTGAGCGCCATTGGTGCGCTTTCTACTCCTTATCTCCATCTACAGTCACTTAAGCTCTTTTGCTAATGAAAAGGATCATTGACAAGAGCCAGATAGGTGATCTGAAGTATTCTTAGAATCTCACATTGCGAACAAATCTCCTCTGTTCTTTTATTTTTATATGCTGTATTATTGTGCTGTTCTCAAATATTACACAGTGTTGTTACACAATCTAGGGTTGTAAAACCGGCAAAGACACTCAAATGTATTACCATATATTGAAAATATGTGTCACATTGAATGGCGTGTGACCGTATGGCCACTGAATCTAATCACTTCCAGCAGGCCGTTCAAACCAATTTGCTCCTCAAAATCAATGGTTCAGATTGAATCTCGTTTGGCTCCAGGTTTGATGCACCCGGCTCTGATTGACTCTCAGGATCGCATTAGGCTGCTGCAACAGCAGCAACTCAAGATAAAATATGAAATGTGTTATGCGGCGCCTCGCAGCCTTCTTTTTTTGTTTTTAATCAAGGACCAGAGGCGAGAAGAGTAACGGCGTTTGGTTTAGCGCCGTGTTAGGGTTCTCTGTCTTGTGTCAACAGGGCATCGTGTGCGTGGTTTAATCGCCAGCTTACGTGAGGCTATTGTCCTTCACTGCTGCTCCAGCTGTAGCATAATTGTAGCCTGCTGAGTGCCCATCTCCCCCCCCACACCCTGCTACCTAGTCGTGCTGTAGCTCAGGTACTCTGTATCGGTGGGTTGTCACGGCAGCGGCTGCTGGAGCAAATGTGAATCCTGCAATCAGTGACAAACTAAAGGATCGGAATAAACACAGTCATTGTCGCCGCCATCCATTAAGTTCTCCCCACAGGAGATCAAGTGAAGTAGAACCTGGGATCCGTCCGACCGACTTCTCTCTTCATCTTCCCTCCATCATCGCCCTCTCTCTCCTCTTCCACGTCGCTCCCAGAACCCGGCGGCCCCTCTTTCACCATCGGTAAGGCCGTGTGGCTGCTTTGGGGTCTGGTGTTCAACAACTCCGTCCCCGTGCAGAACCCCAAGGGGACCACCAGTAAGATCATGGTGTCCGTGTGGGCCTTCTTCGCTGTCATCTTCCTGGCCTCCTACACTGCCAACCTCGCCGCCTTCATGATCCAGGAGGAGTACGTGGACCAGGTGTCGGGCCTGTCGGATAAGAAGGTGTGAATCCGATGCAATGCGCGGTGTGGGCGTGGCTAAGTGCGTAACGTACGGCGTCCTGAGACTCAGAGCTTTTTAGACGTGTTTTCAGAAATCAGGCCACTTCCTGTTGACCTGTTGCACCTTGTAATTTATTATATTATATGATATACAATCTGTTCAGGAATCAACAGAAATTAGCTGCACTTTTGATGAAAGTTTCATCAACACTAAAAGTCGTTTGTCGTGAGAATCTGCTGCCTGTCGTTTCTTTGTCTCACCGGGTTGGGAAGTGACTTTGTTTTCGGGATCGCGACTGTCGGCTTGTGCCTTAGAGATAATAATGTGTATGTTTTTCCAACATTTTACGACCAAAGGATTAAACCGGAACGCATCACTAATAACGATATGTATCAGCTGCAGTCCGACTCTAGTTGTGTGAAGCGAGCGTGTGTGCTGTACATGTGTGTCCTTCGGGCTCGGCTCAAGGCCTTTCACTAACAAGTGGCCGCTCTCTGTTTGACGACACAGTTCCAGAATCCCAATGAGTTCTCACCCCCGTTCCGGTTCGGCACGGTGCCCAACGGGAGCACGGAGCGCAACATCCGCAACAACTACCGGGACATGCACAGCTACATGACCAGCTTCCACCAGAAGAACGTGGACGAGGCGCTGTACAGTCTGAAGAGCGGGTGAGACGGAGGCAGGCGGATGATGGGGGCGACGTGAGGGGGGAGGGAGTTGAAAGGGTCCCGGCAGGGAGAAAAAGAGACGAGCGCGACGGAGCTGTGCGGTCCTGTGCTGATGCAACACAGAGGAAAGATGATGAGGGAGACGGAGAGGGAACATTCTGGGTGATGCTCGTGGGCAGCCAGCAGCACCCAGAATAGCAGCGTAGTTGCGCTGAAACGCTACCTAATATCCACGCTTTCTGTTCCTATGCTTTTCACTCCCTCCCTCTCCTCCGATGTGTCATCAGGCGCCGCTTCGGGATTAAGAATCCAAAGCGTCGATGCTCCTCTGGAGTTTGAGCTGAATGACCTCAGAGGTCTGCAGAGAATTGTTTTAATAGAAGTCATCAGTCAGGATTCCATTTTCATTGTCTACGAATCAGAAAATACTGCCAACCGCGATAAAAAACAGGTTGCCAGGTTTTAAGTAATCATTGTTTTGTAAATGATGTATAGACAGTAAGAACCTTCAGAATATACATAGAGGTGAAACAGGAGCGTAAATGCTACTGATGAGTATTTATAAAAAAGTCATGTAGAGAAATAGTGTTTAAAGATGTGTTTTGGGAAATTACATATATTTTGAAGACACTTCTCCAATGGATGATTAAGACAAAGCACTACAATAAACACCAAAATGTTTTCTGTTCAACTAAATATAATAAGTTCTGGATGCGAAATAGCCCCAATTTTGCGTCTCACAATTGACCAATGCATGAAAAGGATTAGTAATAATCAGTGATTGAATCAAAAAACACACCGAAAACCTGCCTGGTAACAATTCATTTTACGCCCCAATAAAATCCTAATAATTGACATGTACATTTTCTTGAAATAACTATGCAATGTATGATTAATTACAACTGAAACAGAGACAGCGCGCTCACAGTTTGGATTCATTAATTCCTAATGAACGCTGAGCCAGCGTTTCATGAGTATTTTTTGCTTTGAGCACAGCAGGGTGCCTTAATGGGCAGAAATGTGCACATGAAATGTAACATTAATGTATGTAAGTATTGTCTCATTAATGAAGAGAGTATCCTCTCTGATGTATATTTGCTTGCTTTGGCGTGGGGTGGCACTATATAGTACACGGAAATCAATTAAACCTTAATAAGCAACTAACTGATTCTAATTCAACTATGTAACTATTGATAAAAGCTCTTCAGGAAACCCAGAAATGTTGCAGAAACCAGGTGACACTTAAGCGTTTTGCTTCGCCCCGCGACGCTCTGCAGCAAACTGGACGCTTTCATCTACGACGCGGCGGTGCTGAACTACATGGCGGGCAGAGACGAGGGCTGTAAGCTGGTCACCATCGGCAGCGGCAAGGTGTTCGCCTCCACCGGCTACGGCATCGCCATCCAGAAGGACTCCGGCTGGAAGCGAGCCGTGGATCTGGCCATCCTAATGCTGTTTGGAGATGGTAGGACACGGAACAAGGTCTTTATTCTGTATTCATTTGAATGAAGGAAAGCAAAGATAGTTTCTATTTCTAGTTTCTATTTAGGTTTTTATGTATTTTTATTTATATTGGTATTGTAGCTGCTGACGTTGATTGCTGCTTTAATGTAGTAATGCATAAGCAATCATTGGTACGCATATTGTGGAGGGAAATGATGTCCTGTACACAGGGCTGAAACATCGTGACCCCTTCTCAGAGGTTTGAACCACCTGTATGGTGGTGAACCTCCTTTCCAATGAAGCTCAGCTCTCACCAGCGTGAGTTGAGACGGGGAGTGGCTGGAAGCAGCTGCGAGGAGGCCGTGACAGGAGATGCTCGCCGTCCGTCATGGTGACAAGCCAAGCAGCCGCTGGAGGGTCTCGCCATTGGATGCGGCTTCCCGAGGCAGAGCGACACACGCAGGGCGACACACGCAGAGCGACACACGCAGAGCGACACACGCAGGGCGACACACGCAGGGCTCCGGCTGGCCAGAGAGGCCACGGCCGGAGACGGACTTTGTTGTTTGGTCATTTCGGAGGTTCTGCGGTTAACTGTAGCGTTGTTTAGCAATGTAGTTGGTTCCTCTTTGAAACGACTACGGTCTGTGGATTCATTTGAGTAACCCGGGTAACGGTTCTCTGGACGGAGCTGTTGCTGCCGTATAATATATTAGATATATATTAATATATATTAGAGAAGGCAGGCGGCTCTACGGACGATATCTCCATAACCAGGCAACTCACGCCACGACAATGTGGATCCATAAGTAGCACTAAAACCATGTTAAAACCATACATATTTAGATTTGTCAGGGAAATTACTTTGCTTTTTGCTTTCTGGTGTTTGCAATCCCTTCGGTCTGACAAATCAAAGAACAGAATCTCTCATTTAGTGCTCAGCGTAGCATTTGTAAACCTGCGTAAATCATTTTTACCACCAGCGTGTCATGGGGTGGTAGCCAGAAAGAGGGTTGGACTCAAAAGCGGGATTCAGAGAAATAAAAAGATTTTATTTTTGGCAGCAGAGGGACTTAGTTCGGGATCCGTGGCCGGGGAAGATGCTGGAGAGGCAGAGAGGCACAGGGGTCCAGGCGGCAGGAGCGGTACGGTAGATAGAATCCACGCTTGAGGGAGAGGTAAAGATCCGGCTGGCTGGAGGAGTTCCCCCGAGCCGCGGAGGGCGAGAGGGGAAGCCGTCAGGTTCCGGGAAGCAGGCTGGGATGGGACCAAAACATAAAAAAAGGTCAATGCAAAAAAAACTCTTTCCTTAGAGAATCGATCTCGGGTGAGAGCTGGCCGAGTTACCACTGGGAAGGCAAAACGATCTGGCGAAGACTGGTGCTCCTGCTGTTCCTTAAGAGGGGTTCCTGACGATGGTAAATGCAGGACAGCTGTGACAGCAGGCAGCCACCAGACTCCGCCCAGGTAACCACGGAAACCTGCTCTCCCAGCCTGAAGCAACACCTCCAAAGCCAGTCAGATCATGACACAGCGGCGGCTGCTAAGTGATGTGATGGGAGTGTGTTCATAGCAGGCACACGTGTCTTTACCCAAATGGTTAGTGAAGCGCCGTATCCGTCCGTATACCTTCACTGCCAGGAGAGACGCCGCCCAGAGAGCGGTTGGTAGGTCGGCTGCTGCTGTGTGTCGTGGCCGAAGGACGGCGGCAGGGTGTCGGGGGGAGAATGGCAGCGCGGTGACCCACGAGGACCTCTGTATCAAGCTGCTCCGACATGATGAGAGGATTGAGCCATGCGAGGTAGTGTGTGTGTGTGTGTGTGTGTGTGTGTGTGTGTGTGTGTGTGTCTGTGTGTGTGTGTGTGTGTTGGCTAGGACGTCCATTGTCTGCTTGAACTTGTTTTGGTCCCAGATGAACGGCGGGACGCACTGGAGGGACATCGACCATCAGTATGGACGGATATTGAGGCGTTGGGGCTTCAGAGCGCCGACATGTTGGGTGTGAATTGAACACTGCAGCTGAACTTGAGGAAGTGAGCTTGTGCAAACACGTCGTGAAGCTTCTGAGCTCGACATTGTTCTGTCTCCAATAGGACCTCAGGAACCCGCTGATGTGTGACGCACCTTTTCATTTATAGTGAAACTAAGGCTAAATTTGTCCCATAATTTCCAATGAAGTGATAACAGGCTACCAATACAACACTAGCAGTGATTATAGAAACACACAACCAAAGATCTATAATGTTGTCGTTGAAATATTATTTGAGTATCAAAAGATGCTTAACTGTGTAGTAATGAATAATAAAATGAAGTAAAACATGCTTAAGAAAACAATAAATGAATAGTAATGAAAAGACAATTCCTGATATGTCTTTGTTGTCTTTGGAGAGCCCCCCTACAGGAGACCACCTGCCACATCATCACATCGCACGTTGATACCAACACACACACACACACACACATCCTGTCTCCAACAGGCGACGTGATGGATGACAGTGCAGAGGGAACATTCACCGTGGTGCTCTAATGTAATCTAATGCTCCAATGTTAAGAGATCAGACTCGTAGAGAGAGGATCAGCGCGGGAACCATCATCTGAGCAGGATCATGAAGGAGGTGGTGGACACGGTGAAGGTGGAGCAGCAGGACGGGACAGAGGATGGACGTGAACGGAGCGCGGGTTAGAGAGCAGGGAATCTTAAGGACAGTTACTTTGTAGACTTTGCTCATTGACCTGGTTCTTATCAATTGTTTTAGGGATTCAATGTTTTGGTCCACATAGAATGTAGAGCGTGGATCAGAGGGCGTCCGTCCGGCCCAAACGGCGCCGTCTCTAAAATCTGCTGGCTGATATAAAAAATCACCGGTTCGACCGCTGCTGAGAACGGGACACTGGTTCTAGATGGGAACCTTTTCCAGTGTTCACACCTGCTCTGAAGTTAAGGGGGACGTTTTGTCAGATGATTCACCTTCATATCATGTCTGCGACGTAAGTACCGAGCTGGAGGCAGTAATTAGCATAGCTAGCATAGCTAGCATAGGGGACACATTCTTCTATCCTCACGCAAACAGCTGGAAGGAAAACATGAGGTGATGCGGGGAGCTATTTGCTAAAGTGTTCCTCCCAAACGGCCCCGTGGGAGAGACTTCCTCCTCCCGCCACAGTGAGGTTTGCACAGAGACTCACTAGAAGCTGTGCTCTCCCGCTGCGTCTGTCAACCTGCGCTATAGAGCTTCATAAGCTTCATAGAAGCGCTCTTTGGTTGAGAGATAGTTCCACCCCACTAAAAACACAGAATCTGCTTGTATATGTCACCTTTTGCTTTTTGGCTCCAGCTGTGTAATTAATACACTGACTTAAGAGGGGCCTTGACCTTCACAGCTGAGAGAATGAAAGTTAAAGAGTGTGAATCTTTGTACGTTGATTTCATGTATAAAACACACAATGTAGTACATAAAAATGATTTCCTGTCGGTTCCAAATTCCAAACTTGTTAGTCGCTCATAAGGACAATAAATGATCTGTTGCTCAGCGCTCTGTTTTCTAGTCCTACTGAAAGCTGGCGAACACCTTTCTGAGACAAACACACACAAGCAGCCAAAACCCCCCCTGGTCTCAAACAGACACACACAGCAGCAGTCCGTTGGTGCAGATCAAACAAATCTCTCTGGACGTGTCCCCCCCCCTCAGCGCTCCCCCCAGAGATGTAGAACTGACGGGGAGATATTTTAGGGCGGAAGCGCTCGTCACATGACCACACACACTTCCTCCCCCGAGGACTGTCGGGTGGGTGGCTTTTTTCTACCCACAACAAGGCAGGGATTTCCTTTCATAAGCCCCCCTTAATGAGGAGGATCCTCAGGGGGACGATCAGTCAGAATAATGCAGCTTGACATTTGTACATCCGTGAGACCTGAACACGTCTTTGTTTGTACTCGCATTAAAATGTTCAGACGCCTGGACGTGTGACTCAACCTGCGTGCGTCTCCTTCCTCCAGGGGACATGGAGGAGTTTGAGGCCCTGTGGCTGACGGGCATCTGTCACAACGAGAAGAACGAGGTGATGAGCAGCCAGCTGGACGTGGACAACATGGCGGGGGTCTTCTACATGCTCGGCGCCGCCATGATCCTGTCGCTGATCACCTTCATCTGTGAACACTGGTTCTACTGGCAGCTGCGCTTCTGCTTCATGGGCACGTGCACGGGGCAGCCCGGCGCCACCTTCTCCATCAGCAGGGTGAGCGCGCTAATACCGCCGCCACTTTTATCAAGATCAACAGCACAGTTTTAAAAGGTTAAAGATATATGTATTTTTTAACGGTTTGTTTTGGCACAGCGAATGAATTTAATTAGAGCACCAGAGCGTCGAAACAACTAACCGATGAAATGTGCGTCTGTGGTTACTTAAAGCCGACTCGTGACAAATAAATGCGAGAGTCAAACGTTAACTCAAAGCTACGGCGTAAGTGTGCTAAAAGTGAACAGGTGAAAGCAAAGCGCTCACAGCTGTTCGGGCCGAGCGCACTCAACAAGGCGGGTTAAGCACGCGGTTTTGATCAAAAAGCGGTTTTGATCCTTTTCACACATTGGAAAAGTAGCTGGACGCCCAATTACAACACACAACTGGCCGAGCGCGTCCAACAGTCCAACAAGCCGTCCAGTTGCAGCGCACAGCGACACGCTGGAGGACTGCGAGCCCCCGACAGGGTTAACAGAGCCCCCCCCACCCCGTCTATCAGGTTATGAAGCGCGGCCACAACAACTGCTCAGATGTGTCACTTAATAACAACAATAATCCCTTGAGATGTAATTCATTAGCATAATGTTGCCTTTTAGCAGGGGGTGTTGTTGCAAATGGTCTCGGTTGTTATTTCCTGAGAAAAGGACACCGTGTTTACGTGTCTGCTGTTCTCTAATTGTAATGTCGTTGGGTTAACACCTACTCAGACTAACCTGGAAGAAGCTCTTAAATGCTTCTGGCCTTGAGCACTTCAGGAACCCGCCGTACTCTTTAAAGTTGCAGGAATCTCCCTCTTCTTTGTACTTAATGCAAAACACAAGCACTGATGTAGGCAAGTCGAAGCTTCACGACTCAGCCCAAAGAGGTGCGTCCGCTGTCTGATATCTTCTATTCATTTTACACCCCTGGTTTAACAATCGAGTGCGGGGAAGAACAAATATTAAAGACAGTGCAGCATTGAAGAAAACTGGTTTCTAAAAACAGTATATAGAAAGGACAGACAAGTGATGGGAGCACAAAGGGCTAATCAAACACAGAGGAAGAGAAAGAGATCAGTAAGACCGTAAGTCATGATAAAGAATAAAATGGGCGGCAGGACAAAGGCAGAGTAGAAGAGAATAGACACAGCGGTGTGCAAGGAACCTCCGTCCTATCACCCTTTCACAGCAGCTGCAGTGCAAGAGAGACACGGACGGACAATCCCATTGGATCGGCCGCCGCTCCCGGAAACGGAGATAAAGCCGACACAAAGAGCGAGCGGAGCCCGAGAGGGGGAGCAGGGACCACCATTGCTCGTTCGTGAATGTGGCTCCGCGACGGGGGAAGTGACTAAGAGACGGACAGAAAGCGTTTCTGACAAGTCGGCGCCTTTGAGGGAAGTTGGCCCGCATGCTGGCTGGTGGCGAGTGCCTCCTCGACCTTTCGGGTTCTGGCTGCCGCCTCCACCGCGGATCCCCTCGGCCCCCCATCTTCACACGCTTGTTTGACCTCACTTGCGAAGGGCTTTCCCTTCTCTCTCAAAAGCCAGACGAAGTGCGCGCGGCGGTGGATTATGACGTCCTCAAAATACGGCCGATGAGTCGCGTGATATCGCAACGAAATTCAGGTCTACTTTCGCCGAGGGATCCATTCATGTTTTTTATGAAGGAAAAGCCAGCAGCACTAGTGTCGGCTGAATGATTAAAGGCATTGATTAAACCTATTGATCGGCGGTCAGAACCATCAATCAGGGCTTTGATCCGTTCATTCTGTTGGCGCTGAGCACCAGCTGTTCCCCCGAGAAAAGTCACTTATGAACTCGGCCCCTATTACTGTTTAATAGTGTGTAAACAAGAGGGTGGTCAGAAAAAACATGGCAATGCATTAACCCGTCTCAGCCCCCCCCCTCTGTGCCTGTTGACTTCACCATTTATAACATCACCCCCTTCTGGTTCTGCATCACATGTTACCGGCCCTTGGGCCTCTCACCTCTTATTCTGTCTTCCTCCCGCGGCCCGTCTCACCCTCTCCTCTCTCCACCTCCCTTTCTTGCCTTCTTCTGGTCTTCCCGCCGCAGGGTATCTGGAGCTGCATCCACGGGATACAGATCGAGGAAAACAAGTCCACCGCGGACTCGCCGTCGGCCACCATGAAGAAGAACATGAACAACACCCACTCCAACATCCTGCGCTTGCTGCGCACCGCCAAGGACATGACCGCCGTGCCGGGCATTAACGGCTCGCCGCACGCCGCCCTGGAGTACGGCCACAGCGGCCGCGACTCGGCCATCTACGACATCCAGGAGCACCGGCGCAGCCTGGTGGGCCACCCCGTCGACTGCAAGGCAGCGCCGCCCTACCTGCCCGAGGACAACATGTTCAGTGACTACATCAGCGAGGTGGAGAGGACTTTTGGCAACTTGCCCCTGAAGGACAGCAACCTGTACCAGGACCATTACCTGCACCACCACCCGGCCTCGGCTCTGGGTATGTCCGGCCCGGCGCCAAACAGGCCGCGTAGCTTAGGCAGCACTAGCTCGTTGGAGGGGGGCATGTTCGATTGCGACAGTCTAGGGGGAGGGGTAGCGCCCATCTTCACCACCCAGCCCCGGCCCTCCATGACGCACAGGAATACAAAACAGTTTGACCTGATCACCGGCCACGCCCCAGCGGACTCCGGCCAGGGGGGGTTCAAGGGAAGCAACGTGTACGGCAGGTTTTCTTTCAAAGGAGGTGCATCCAGCGCGGGGCTCATCGGGGGTCCCGACAGGTACTGTGGCGGGCGCGGGGGAGGCTCAGGGGGGGAAGATGGGAACATTCGCTCCGACGTCTCGGACATCTCCACGCACACCGTCACCTACGGCAACCTGGAGGGAAACAACAAGCGGCGTAAGCAGTACAGGGACAGCCTGAAAAAGAGGCCCGCCTCGGCCAAGTGCCGACGGGAGCAGGACGAGATAGAGCTGAGCGGCCTGAGGAGGAGAGCCCACCACCACACCGTCCACCACCACTTCCCCCACGGGCCCCTGGCACACCGCACGGTCTCACCTCCCCTGGAGCGCAAGAGGGGAGGCGGAGGGGGTAATTCTTCACCTTACTTATTCCGCAAGGACAAAGAGAACCTGAGGGATTTCTATGCGGACCAGTTCCGCGCCAAGGAGGGCAAGTCCAAGTGGGAGCAAGAGGGTGGAGGAAGCGGCGTGGGCGGTGGTAGTGGTGGTGGTATCTGTAAAAGCTTAGTACCCGTGGAAGACTTCCTCAAAGGTAAAGGCAAGAAGCCCGAGGGTAAAGGCGGGCTGGGCTCGGTGTCGGCGGGGCAGCAGGCCCACACCTGCTGGGAGCAGGGGGTATCGGGGCTGGGGGGCGGGGGCATCGCAGGGGGCGACTGGGAGTGTCGGAACTCCCACAACGCCTGTCACCACGGCGGCGGCGGCGGTGGCGCGGGAGGGGGCGGCGTTTGCCATTCTAGCGGCGTCGGCGGCAGTCGCCCCAGCTCCGCTAGCTGCAAGCGCTGTGACTCGGGTAAGATCCCGCCGAGCAACCTTTACAACATCAGCGAGGACAACATGGCGTTCGCCGGAGTGAAGAGTAGCGTAGCGACCGGCCAGGCGCAGGCGCAGCGCAGGAAGCTCGGGGCGGGCGGGCGGGTGTTACGGAGGCAGCACTCGTACGACACCTTTGTGGACCTGCAGAGAGAGGGGGCGGGTCGCGTGGGAGGCGGCGGCGGCGGCGGAGGGCAGTTTCCCCAGCCGCGCAGCGTGAGCTTGAAAGACAGGGAGCGCTCCATGGAGGGCCCCAGCCCTTACGCTCACATGTTCGAGAGGTACGCGGGCGAGAGAGAGTCCTCCATGTTCGGCGGAGTAGGCGGGGACAGGGCGAAAGGAGGCTCCTCCTTCAGTCTGTTCCGTGGAGGCGAAGGTGGGTCGCACAAGCGCTCCGTCGGGGAGAGAGACCTGAGGGACAGAGATAGAGCTATGATGGGAGGTGGGGGCTGTGGTGGTGGTGGTGGTGGTGGTGGTGGTGGCGGTAGCAGCAGAGGGGCCGGGACTTACTCCTTGTCTAAATCTCTCTACCCAGATAAGGTGAACCAGAACCCCTTCATCCCGACCTTCGGCGATGACCAGTGTCTATTACACGGCGCCCAACCGTACTACGTCAAAAAGCCACAGACGCCGCAGCAGCAGCAGCAACTTCTCAACAACAGCCGAGGAGGAGGCGACTTCCGCGGCTCCATGGGAACCGCTTCCTATTTGCCCGCGTCCGCCACAGCTGGGGTCATGTCCAACGTGGCCCCCAGGTTCCCCAACGACTTGTGTCTGGGCGGGGTGGGGGGGCCCATGGGGAACCACCACGGGGCCAGCAAGCTACTGCCGCTGGGCAGGGACACGTTGGGTCTGGGGCCGGGACAGAGAACCTTCAACGGCGCCAGCAACGGACACGTTTATGAAAAGCTCTCCAGCATTGAGTCCGACGTCTGAGGGGGGAGGGAGGGGGGGGGGGGGGGGGCAGGGACAGAGCGGCAGAAGATAAAGCGGGGCGAAGAAAACATGGAGAGAAACTCATAGACGCCGACGACGTCTCGGCGCGCCTAGAACGAGGAGACGCGATGCCGCGTGTCCTTCTCACGAAATCTGGACGATGCACAGAGGCCACCGCAGCCTCGGCTGGGAAGTCCGGCGGGAGACAAGTTCGTAATGAGAAGAGAGGATTCTGGTGCTGCTCCGACGCTCAGAGAGAGACGGTGAAGGAGGGAGGAGGGGGGAGGAGGGGGGAGAAATCAGATCTCCAGTCTCTGCTCTCTGCACACGCTCGTCTTCTTTCCCTGCGGTCCCTTAACACCAAAACCAACGTTTTGTTCAACAACAGAAATACAATCATGAATGAGAAATCGACGCTTCTGTTGAAGTAACAGGGTAAACTAATAATAATTGTGTTGATAATGTTAATAATATTACTGAATATTATTCCAGTGTTTAACGATGATCGGTTTCTGATTGTTTTCCTTTTCTTTCTTTCCCTTTTCTTGCTTTAAATAGTTCATGTTACATATTTGTGTGATGTTCTCTCTTAGCTTACCACGCAGGACACCGGTCGTCCGATCTACTTCTGGGGTTTCCTGTACTTTGGACTCTTCTTTGCTATTAATTCTTCATGTTTGATTTTATTACTTTTTTTAAACCGTTTCTTACTCTTGAGTGCTGTGAAGTGTATGTGAACGGCATGACTTGCGGAGTACATTCTATGTACTTATAAATTTGCACAGAAGGTCTCTTTTTTTCCCTCCTGTCAGCTGTAGAAGCATCATCACACTGATTTGACTGATTCGTTTCCTCTCCGTTGTCTTTCCGCTCGGCCGCACCAGATGGGTCTCACATTTCGAGCTGGATGTGCCTTAAAAGATTGATACTGATTTTCTACACACTGGGATCTGTTCTGTCGGCACACAGATCCACCTGCAATCGATTAGTGGAATCGATCAGTTTGAAAACAGACTTTCACGAGCACAACAGACTTTGATGTGGTAACACAAAGCTGCCGAGAGGACGCTGAAATTCCCACGTCAAACAGACCCAGGAGCAGGTTTTCACGGGTTAAATCCGCGGCGCCATGATAAACACGCGTTCCTGCCCCCACGCCAACAACACGCAACGCCGGCTCAGCGGAGCCGTGACACGCTAAGACGGGAAATGTAGGAGCTCCTTCGACTTTTACCTCCGCCATTAATCTCAACTCCTTCATTCAAAATCCTTTTGGATTTTGCCTCCTCAAACACTGTTCATGACAAACGAGCCCGGGATCCAACTTTATTCAATCAAACCCACGACAATCACCTTTAATGTCCACTCATTGCGCTCCGTTGGGTCAGGCTCAACTGGCCGTGACAGCTCTGTGCTCTCCGGGTCGGGACACATAATGGACTCACAGATTGAGCAGCGGGGACGTTCATTATTTCACCAGAGCTGCTTTAGGCTCAGCCGGCTGCGTTGGAGGGTCTCATTTGAATGATGTGACTCGGCTGATCTTCATCTCCATAGAGTGACGTCTCACACAGTGTTGCTACAGCTGAAGTGTGACATGGACATGTGGGACGGGTCGCTGCTGGACTGTCTTGTGGTTGCCACGACGTAAAACCCACCACTCCTCTTCTTTATGCAGATTTGAGATCTGAGAGTGATATCAATCGTCTTTACCAACAAGGAAATAATGCGCATTGTCCCAAATTGTCAGACTATCCCGTCCACGGGGAACGAGAGAACCGTGGCGGTACAAGTCGGTCCCGTTTACCGACAGAACGTAAAAGAATCATTTCATCATGTCCTGTTCCCTTGATTCCTTGAACCCCCCCACCGGAGCCTAATCTGTTTCACACGCTGAGGTTTCCACCATGAAGGAATGTGGCCTCGTTCCTCCGAAAGGTCCCGCGTGGACGGCGTCAGCTGCAGAGAGGAGGACGAGGAAGGCGAGTAGCCGGCGTCCTGGAGGCAGGTGGTGCGTTTAGTGAGAAGCATCTTCAGACACGCCGGTCATCTCCACACACGTTGCGTTTACTAAAAATGGCTTTGGTCGCGTTGTCTACTCTTTATTTACGGTTACTTATTGTCGCCGGACTTTTAGTCCAAACCAAATTTGACTACCTGAGCACAATCTGACTGAATGGGTGGAACATGTTTAGTTTGTTGGACATTTCAGTCCAGTTTTGGAGGACTTTCCTCCCCTTGGTGGACTAGTCAGTATGTATGATACTGGGGGGGGTGGAGAGTTTGTCAGCACCTGCATGAACACACCTTTCTTTCTTTCTCTTTTTGGATATCAACGTTTAGCCCAGAAAAAAGGGCGTTTTTTTGGGGAACAATATTTGGACAATATTTTTCTGAACTTGATTGGTACCGATGATCCATGTAGTACTGTGGGTGCGTGTGTGCTTGTTTGTACAGAACAAAACACCAATCTCAACCGTTTTATTAACTTTTGGTCACACTTTCATGAATATGGCTAAATTTATTGGATAGAAAACTTTTATTATTATCATAAATCTTCTACCAAAGTTTTCTTGATAGTTTTTTGTTAATGCTTTTAAACAAGGTTGAGGTCTTGATTAATACGTTCATCGTCACTGAAGAAGCCTTTGTTTTTTTGATTTCGACTACTTTTCCTGTTGTTTCCCCTTTCGGATCTCCGGTTCCTTCCTTGCGTTGTTGTACGTGCCTGATTACAGACGCTTGATTACCTCTGTGTGCCGCCGGGGAGAGACGGAGAGCGTGTGAGAGGCGTTTGGTTGTACATGTGTTATAAAACTGTATGTAAATACTTTACCTCACGCTCATGGACTTTTGATAAAATATAAAACAAACAAAAACGTGTACAAAAAAAACAAAGAGCAGAGAATAGATCTATTTGGGATAAACCTTTGATTCGTAGGATGCCCCTTGCGAAATTTATTTTGTACCGACTGTGGGCCCGGATATGTGCAATGGTTAGTTCTCACAGTGGACACGCAGCGCCTGGCGGCTCCTTGTCGCTTTGGTCTTTGGCCACAGGCCTCACAGCGCCGCCGCTGATTGGTACTCAGAAAGCACAATGGATTCTCTATTGGGTTCTTTTTTCTACACAGGAAGCCTCTTTCTGCTCCTCTTCGACTAAACTTCTGTTTCGCTTTGTTTTTGCTGCGGAAGACTTAAACAACTCCATCCTGAGCTGTACAGATTGTGAAAAATGTACATACGAGAACAAAAAATCTAGTTCGCCCTCGCATTTCTTTTTTGTATGGAGAGAAATTACTTGTGCGAAGAGAGTATTTCGAAATTGAATATTTAGTTATATTGAAAATGAGATTAAACACAGTCGATGTGAAAATAAGTGCTGGGAAATATTATTCTTCTGTCTTTTTGGAATAAAAGTGTTGAGTATTAATAAAAAATAAGAAATCTCAAGCTCACAGGTGTCTTTTCTTTATTCTCGTGTCACTCTGCTGGGGGGCGACGGGGCCGAGGTGGCGGCTGAGAGCCGGTTCTGCTCTGTGAGTCCGTGAGACGGAGCCGGCTCGCGGCGCGCCAGATGGGTCGACTCGTGACGGATAAGTGTTCTCGCGCAGCACAGGGGGAATAAATATAGATGCGTGAGAATAAAGGGTGGAGGAGAGAGAAAAGACACTGAAGGAAGAAGTGATGCAAACAGAACATGCAGCAGAGATGAAAAAAGCCGACTCCCCCTCACTCCTCAGACTCCCTCTTCACTCCGGAAGCCTTGTCCAGCAACAGGAGTTATTTAAAGAAACCTGCACAGCGGAGAATGTATACCGACGCCCTGAGGGGACGGATCCAGGAGAATTTTAACACCTGCGTTCCTGGACGAACGTGAAGCCGCGGAAATAATCCTTTAATCAGTTTCCATCTCGCTCCTCTCGCAACAGAAAAACAAATCTTTACTACTTCCTTTATATTCTTGCTCACTTGTTTCGCCCCTTGCAGCAACCCAACCAGCCGAGGATGCATTGCAACACATGTAACTACACTTCTTGACAATTAAGTGTTACCTAGCAACTGGCTCCCTCTCTTTTCTCAGTGATGGGGAGGGGGTGGAGGGGGCAGGGGGCGTGGACAGAGCGAGATTTATACAGCAACAATGCATTGACAATGCAACACCAAAATGGAAAGTGCACAGCCTGAGCGCGACGCCCACACATCGCCGCGTGTAGGAGGGGGTGCACAGATTACACGGAGCGGGAAGGAAAAAGGGAGGGATGAACACCCATGCGGGGGGGGGGGACTGAAGAGGGGCTGACAGGTGAGGAGCGCGCTGATGCTGCGGTGGGTGAGGTGATGAGGAAGAGGAGGAACTGGTTGCTGTAGAAACACTCTGCAAAGTTTTAATGAAGGCATAAAGTTTGTGGTCAGTGTCCAACACACACACACACACACACACAATCACCCTACGCAAACAGTATCATTATGTTAGCATGTAATAGCCCCTGTTGACCGCTCTGACTTAAGCTGCACTGAATAAAGGGAGAGAGGATGAAGCCTCCGTGAATCAGTTGTGACGTCCCGTCCGCTTCGGGCAGCAGCAGCGCACTGACACCTTGTGGATACAACACTCCACCCGCTGCTTACCGGCTGGGATATTTAGGCCACAGTGCACGTTTCATTCATGGCTAGAGAGGAAGTATTGAAGCAAAGTGCTGAGAGTCGCTGCTATAAAATCCATTGCATCGAATACGGTCAGATTTATAAAATAAATCTCTAGTTTTTTATTCAGGCTTTCTGTAAAAAAATGTATAAATGCTTTTTTATTATGTGTAGTTATAGTTATAATTTTTACATACATAGCTATAAAAACAAAACAAATGCAAATACAATGATATAATATTATTATGTATAAAGTGTACATATATATGAGCCTTTACTTTCTTGCATTTCCTGTCATATTTTTTGCTCTGCTTCAATAGTTGTTTACAGAGACCGTCAGTATAATAGAGACGGGGAATTCTACGGGGATTTAATATAACCATGAAAAGCTGAACTAAGACAATAAGTCTACCGTTTTATTATCTTTTTAAATCAGCCAATTACTTTCCTTTTTTATTGCACCATTATTTTTTTATCCAACGTGACCATTTAATCACATGGAGCAAAACCTCCATCACGTCAATAATGCCCAGCGGAGTGGGGCCGTGTGATTGGCTGAGCAACAGCAACATATTTAGTAAATTGCAAAGACTCACATCTGCCAATAAATCACACGATAAGCAGACTACCTCCATGAGCGGTGATCCTACAGTAAAAGCTACATATCAGGAAGACGTTATTTTTTACAAACATTTAAATGCAATGTGTTTCTTTCATGACAGGATATTTATAGAATCTTTCAATGACGACTCCCTCTTCCTCTCCATCACTGTGCCTGACTCTCTCCCCCGTTCTTCAGGACTCTCACCCGTCTCCTCCTCACCACCCGGCTCCCGGTCCTGGGGGCGTACCGGGCCAGGCTCACCGCCTCTGCGCTCAGGCTGTGAGGTGCCAGAGCACGGCCGCCTCCCGCCTCTTCCTCCCCCACCTCCCGGTAGCCGTGGTGACGGAGGAACGGTTCCAGGGTTGCTAGGCGACGAGAGAGCTCGGTGATGCGCATGCGCAGCAGGGAGACTTCTCTGAACAAGTCGTTGACGGACTCGGACAGAGGGCGCACCCTGCAGGACAAACCGAGAATGTGTCATAATATAATATCATGTAATATGATATTATATAATATGATGTAATGAAATATATTATAATGTGATCTCATATGTTATAATATAAAGAACAGTACAAGTGAGCTGACACAGATCTTCACTAGCGACTGCAGCTTTCAGGTTGTAGAACTTGTAATGATAGAAGTGTCAAAGTCACCGCGAGTAGTCGGGCAGCAGAGAGCTGGGCTCCGAGTGCAGCAAAGTCTTGATCTCACGGAAGATGCGTTTTCCCCAGACATCTAGAACTCTGGTCACACTGCGCACCGAGGCCACGTCCACCCTGTCCGCTGAAACGTTGCGTCATGTCATCACGGATCGTGTACAGAACATACACATAAGATCCTTAAATCGCTGCTTTTCATTCAGTTCACCAATAAATTATCTTAATAATTCATAACTTCAAACATTTTGTCACAAAATAATTTACAGGCCTCCATTTCACAAGGCGGCAAAAGATGAAAGGGAAGCTTTTGATTTACCTCCTTCTCTGTAGTTCCAGGAGCCGTAATCCAGTTCATTCTCCTCGCTGGCTGAGAGGGCCCCAGTTGCCGTGGCAACCGCCATTGCTAGCACCAACAGAGCAGGAGGGGCCATGGCAAGCAGACGCTTCCCTGTCATAAGAGGCCAAATAAAAGCGAAGGAAAAGAAAAGTTAACTTTCTCCTTTAAACAGAAAACAACACAAACACAAAGCAATAAGAAGTGATGACGCACACAGACTGACTTCATCAGCAGCATGCAGATGTGAATACGTGCATACATCTGTATCGAGGGACTTACAGTGGCGCGGTACAATTTAGATATATTCATACTCGTCTAATTCCTGCTGATCGTCTTTTAATAGATTTACCTTTAATTATGTGTCGGTAAGGATTTCACTTATAAAAGTGTTATAATTACTTGACGCACTATAAATAAAGCAGACACATATTTTCTCTACTTTAACCAGCAACAACATTAAAACACTGTTTAATCCTTAATGTATTTATAGTACCAATACAATTATATAATAAATATGGAAACACAATTCTTTACAAGGAGCAATTCTTCACAATAGATTAATTTAAAATATATAAAATATATTTAAAATATAAATTAACTTTTTCCGTAACACGGACCAGATTACTTCTGTTCTTGTAAACACATTTTATATTATTATGTTAAGGGTTTAAACTCTTGCTCGGCCATCACGTCAGGAAGAGTGGTGCCTTTAAAAACCTTCAGAATATCATATCCCCAGAATACAAAAAAGAATCACTTACTTGAACTGAAAGAGCTTTTTTTCCGGCGACAGTCCTCCTCCTGTGTCTGATATGTGAAGAGAAGGACCACAGTCCAATCTGACTAAACTAAAAAACGTATGTTTTCGCTTGAATCCAGGACTGCAGGTGTGTGAGGAACAACAGCATAGAAGGAGGGGAAAAGCAAAAAGGAAGAAATGAATTGCATCCACATGACAGAGTGAATCACGCTGCACAACAATAAGCTGCTGACTCAGCGGTGAGGAATTTCTTTGATGTTATCAGGGAATATGTATTTGGAGGCGGATCACTAACCTGAAACAGCTTGTTCCACAACAAGGAAACAATCACAACAGGGTTTGTTGTGGTAATAATTGCACTTCTTAACTTTGCAGACTATAAATTCACTGGTTAGAAATATCAGGCTGGAATAAAAGAGCAAATCAGCCAATACTCACAAATTTGAGATGGTTCCTCTCCGATCTTATTGATCACCTGATCTCCACTGCCGCGCTCTTTTCTCCTTCGTTCTTCTCCCCTCGCTCTCTCTCTCTGTTTTCTCTGATGCTCTCTCCACCCTCACCGCACAGCTGTAATGTAATTCAGAGAATGTGGCAGAGTTTATAATCCCCTTATTAGTGGAGAGCTGTCACATCCTCACAGCCCCAACTCCTGCTCTACGACACCCAGATGCTGCCAGATGTGTGGATCGTGCTTCAGATCAGTCTCATCATCGAGTCTCGGTGGGACACACAGGTGTGTGTGTGTGTGTGTGTGTGTGTGTGTCCTGTGGCTGTAATCTCACCGCCGGATCCACTTTCTTCAGTTATGGACCTTTTTCATCTTTCTCTTCTTCTTTGTAACCAACGAATTGTACTAACGAATGCAGAAAGATGATGATTACGATTTGAAGGAGATTTTATGAGGAATCATCTGTGAAGTTTTTTGGTGGTGATGGTGGTTAAGATTTATACACAGACAGGATCCCTGTCTAATGCATGGTGCATTCCTATAGGTTGAATTATTATCACAGCCTGAAATAATTAACAGTGTGTTGGCAGAGTCAGAAGTAAAAGTAATAAAAGTGTTGTATTGTTTTGCATCACCAGTAAACTGGATTTAAGTCCAGAGGTGCCATTGATTGGTTGAGCGACAGACAATCATCAACTATTTGGATAAAGTTGAGTGATTTTCAAAGCAAAAATGACTCATTTGAGAATTGTGAATCACCCAAATTAGATTTTTTTAAGTGTAAAGTGTCAACGGAAACACTGTAAAGTGAAGTCTCTTATAATTGAATATAGTAATTGAGTTTGCAGAAAAAGGTTGTGAGAGACATAATATTTCCTGCACTGGATTAAATCTGGTTAATAAATTAAATTTAGAGATCCAATATTCCTCTTCTTGTGCAACGGGTCAATGTTTTTATAAAGTATGATCCGCACACTTTACTCCCCAGGATGGAGGGCAGATAAAGGACGTTATGAAATGGAAAGAATTGTTCTTCATTGACTGGCTGATGTTATTCCAGCTCTCTGTGTGGTGTCCTGCTGAGGTGACCTCAGGGTCACTAACGCACCCAAGAGAGGAAACGATGAACGGGAGAAGGGGAGAGAGGGGAAAGGGAGCAAAGAGGAACGAGGAATGAGGAGGCAGGAGAGAGGAGAGAGGAAGGAGAAGAGAGGCGAAAGGAAGGAGGAGGAGGAGGAGGAGAAAGTATGAGAGAGGAGACAGGAGACGGGACACAGGAGACAGGAAACAGGGACGCCGATGGGGGACAGAGGAGAGAGGGAGGTGGAAGAAAAACAGACAAGGGTTAAAATGACAATAATAAGCGCTGCACCTCAACATCTGCATGCTGACTTACTGCTGTGGAGAAGTCACAACCATCACCCACAGCTGGTTCACATCAGCAACAGGCAGCCAGAGCTGGATTCCACACACACACACACACACACACACACACACACACACACACACACACACGACTTTCTCTCTCAGCTGGAGTCTATTACTTCCCCTGACTGTTAGAAACCACGTGGCACGGCGAGGCTCACGGACACCGGCCAACGTTGCACTTCCCCTCCCGACCGGAGACGAGGAACAGAAACAATGCAGCCAGAAAGAAACCTCTCGTAACAAAGTACAAAGCAAAATGGGGGCTAACGTTTGTGCATATTTCTTGGTGGTGGTTCCTCCTCGTGTGGACCCGGCTTTCAGGCTTCAATGTGAACGTTTATCTCATTCCAGCTCCCAAAACGAGTCTGTGTCCAAATGAACAACATTTTGAGGAAGTGGTTTGGCCAGAAGCAGGAAGCTCGGCGCCTCGTTTAAACGTACCGAGACAAACTTAAAACAGTGACCAGATAAAACCGAGAAGGACGCACGCCGTCCCTGCAAGAACCCTGAGGACCACGACATGGAGGCTCGACAAGTTTGCCGTCTTTCCTTCATGTCGACCTGGATGTTGGTCTTCTTCCTCCTCGCTGGGTGCTCAGGAACGGACTCACCGAGTAAGCACTTTGTACTCGTGGAGGAGGCTGGAAACAATGTTGTGGATCGCTAATGAAACTCTCCGATTGTCAGCAGTCAGAGGTTTAAATATGTGTTTCTTAAGCATCATATGGCTGTGGTTATTTTCAGTACCAGTGCATTTGTTTTCTTCTTTTCCATCGAATCTATAAATGTCAAAGAATGAAAGCGTTGGAATTGCTTCTATTGTCTGATTGTAAATCCTGTTGTGAGAAGTTTTGGCTTTGCAACTGATGGAGCTCTGACGTGAGCCTCCGTGCCACAGAGATCTGCCTGGACAGCACCGTCTTCGTGGCCTTTGCAGGCGAAACCCTCCGCCTCCCCTGTGAGCTGAAGGTGCCTGCGAACCAAAGCGGAGACGCCCTGACGTGCTTCAATTCTCTCAAACAACCCGTCTACAGCTGCGACATCGCCAACAGCCAGCCACAAACCCACCGTCTGAAATTGGAGCTGAGCAACGTGACCCTCTCAGGAGAATATTTCTGCCGGTACAAAAATGCCCACGTGTACTTCTATCTTCTAGTGCAGAGTGAGTATGAAAAAGAGGGAATGCAAACGGGAACCATTGATTGAACAATATCCATAAATGTGGAATTTTTGGGGATTTGTTTTGGACGGGGAGGGACGGTGGGACCGGAGGTTCGTTCTTCAGCAGATGTCTAAAAGATCTTCTTCAACACACCGTGATGTGGATTTAGTGAACTGTTGTCTGCATTGTGGCAGTTTGCTTTAGGGAGGGACCACGCGCTGATTGACACGTCGGTACAATGGCGCTGTGTCCGTCTTGAAGCTTTAACCTTTTAACCGCCACAACTTGAATGGCTAAAAACCAGCGCTAGTTTGTACTCATCTCCAGCTTCTCCCGTCACGTGTGGTGGTCACAAACAAGATGCTGAACTCGAGGCTTCCAAGAGCCAGTCCACTAACGTGAACCGCTGTGTTGGAAGCCACTGGTGGACTATTACAGATGCTGCCCGTGTATTTAGTTCATATTAAGATGTGCATGAAGTCCATTGACCATTTTATTTATATAAATATATATTGAGTCGGGAAACCTTCCTGCACTGACGGACATTCCTTTGTGAGCGTCTTCCAGGCAAAGAGGAACTCAACATTGATCTCGACAGGAACTACACAGAAGTCGGCGTAGTCGGCGTCTTCACCGCTGTGCTGCTGGTGTTCAGCGTGGTCGGCTCGGTGTATGTCTTCAGAGGACATTGGGTAAGCTGCGTCCCGCTCAGGAACTCACACATTGAGACAGCAGCACGATGCAATGTCACAATACTGGTTTGTTGGAGACAGAGGACTTTGTGAAACTCCACCATCAGGTTGATTGTTTTTAACTACATCACAGTTACATCACAAGAACATCCGACTAGACCTTTTAATTGATATGTTTTTGTACATTTTTTCCTTTTAATGTATTAAATTGCTGTTGTTTAGTCCGACTGCTTCACTGAATGTGGCAAACGTGGCACAGAGCAAAAGCAGAAGAGAGAAGAAAGGAATGAAGGGGAACAGGTGGAAGACAACGTGGATGTGATGACAGCTCCGTCTACATCTTTCTATGCTGTAAGCACCTTAGCACATCAATTTAGTCCATCATCTTCCCGGCAGTCCCATGTTCAATTTTATATTTGTCTGAAACTGATATGGGAAATTCTCTCAGAGTCTAGAGCCTCGGCCGAGGTCCATTTACGACGTGCTGGACCATTCGGCCGTCAGGGACGAGTCGGACACAAGCAAAGCTGAACCCAAGAAAAGGAAACCAAAAAAAACGGTCAGTGACGACTTCAGGCGCTTTGTTATTCAGTGGAAAAGCACTTTCAACATGGAGCTGGTGACCTGTGTTCTGCTTCCTCCACAGGCGCCACAACCAGCAACCCAACCAGACCAGCAGGAAGGTGAATTTGAGTGTGTCTATGAGAATTTTTAACAAAGAGATACACTTGTTTCTACGGATGGCGGTATTTATATCATTGTCAGCTGTTACCAGAAAGTATCATAGAATGTAATACTGAATATAGATTACATCAAAAAGGAAGGTAACACAAGAAAATAGAAAAAAATCATTGTTGCATGTGTCAAGTATAAAAGTAAGACCAGTAAGTGTTATCAGCAAATAACACTCAAAGAACAAATTCAAAAGTGTCCATTATGCAGGCAAAATGTGTATTTTATTATTTTACTAAATTTTTATTATGGGTACATCAACATTGTAAAGTTTGGTTGAGATAAAGCTATAGGCTAATAATAACTATCTTTATTTTCGAAGTTTAAAATATCTTAAATGTACTGTATAACAATGCTGTATTGTTAATAACAAGATGTCAAATGAACTTAGAGGAGTAAATGTGAATAGACATTACAATGTGAATATGGTAAGATATAATAGTAGTAGAAAGTAGTAAGTAAAGTCTCTCAACATTTTAATTGAGAAATTGAAATAAATACATCTTCCACGAGTCTGTCTGCCCGTTTCTGTTTTTATGCACAATGTTTATTTAGATATTTCCTTTCGTCATAAGAAAAACCTGACCAATGACATTGCGAGGCATCGATTCTGCGAGCCAATGGGGAGGCTGCTCTCAGTTTCACTTCCTGGTTTGGTTTGTTGTGTTCTCTGCATTGATCATGGCTGCTGAGGGAGATTTCCTGGCGAGATACCGTGCCGTGTCAAATAAGCTGAAGAAGTAAGGGGATGAGTGGCATTAAATGGAAAGATGACTGAATATTAGCGTTAGTGTAACGTCTCGTGACAATAGTGCCGCATAGAGATAACATACATCTAGCTGGTATAAGCTAGGTTGAGCTAACAGTTAGCGTGCGGTAACCGCTAGTAGGTGACGTCGGTTGCGTTAAAATGACGTTGAGGGTTTTGCTAGCTGACCAGCTAACGTTACGTATCTAATTGTGGTGTTTGGGGAATGTTAAAGGCGTGCGTTTCCTTTTCACAGACGTTTTCTCCGGAAGCCGAACGTCGCGGAGGCGAGTGAGCAGTTTGGTAAGTGTGTCTAACGCCGCCTTCACAGCTAGAATGAGCAACACACGACCCGCAACTCTCACCCCTCATCGAGCAGGTCTGGGGTCGGTCGCTGTCCTCCATGTCGTTAACTAACTAACTAACTAGGCTTTACAAATGTAGTGAAGGACTTTCTGTAGCCTGAAACTGGTCATTTGGCCAATGTATTGATAAGCTTGAGCAGCTGGTCTGACTAATCAATGGGAACGCGTGGACGTCCTCCCACTCGTTCCATTAAGCCTCACTGGAAAATGGGTTCTGAATTTATTTATTTTAGCGTTCACAGTCAACACATATGTTGCTCTCTGTTGTTTCAGCGTTGCCATGGAACTCATGGCGTGTTTCCATCATATGAACAGCATGTCAGCCTCAGTGATCGCCATGTAGGCAGACTGAGTCAATGCTTCACCTTTTTCCACCAACATGAAGGAGTCATAGTAGTGTTTTTTCCCCCTTGATCTCATGAAAACATGTGTTTTGAATATGACTAATACTGATACATTTTCCAACATGCTTCCAGTCATCAGGGGCAAAGCTGGTGGTAAAAGGAACGTGTTTACATGGGATTGGCATATGGGCGAGGAAGCAGGTCCATGCCGTTCTGAAATACGAACCTGCCATCTGGACACTGGTTGGCCTCAGATGTATTTCTCTGTTTTCACTTTGTATTTCAGGTCAGCTGGCTAAGGAGCTGAAGCAGCAGGACTGCCTTCAGTATGCTGCCTTCTGTAACCTGGCCATGGCTCGGTGAGTGGACACCTGTGTATCCTCCCACCTTTTAGCATTAGATTGACCTGGACCATCTCAGAGTCACATTACAGGAGAAAACTTTGGGAAAGGGCCTTTTCCTTTTCCGGGTCTGCCCTCATGAACAAAGAAAGCCATAACCTCAAAGCCGTCTGACATCTTTGAAACGATGCTAACTGCAAGTCAGACCTCGTCACCCACGATCCTCGGTTGATTTTCTCGTGGCTGAAAAGGATCCAAACCCCTTAAGCCGAGCTCCCAATTCTGCAGAAAGCTTCACCAGAGGTGCAGAGACCCACACGTAATAATTTACAGGTTTTCTAATGTACTCGAGTGTGGCGAACATTCCTGTGACTGTGTTCAACTGAATAGATCCAAATCTCTCTAAGGCGGCCGCTCGTTCACTGTGACCATCACACCCTGATGTGCGTATCTCAGGTGTGAGCAGACTCTGTTTAACGCCCCGGGGGAGGCTCTGGCGTTGACCGATGCGGCCCGCCTCTTCCTCTCCTCTGAGAAGGAGAACAGGGCGCTGCAGGCTCCGGGCTTTGACGAGCACCTTCAAGCTGCGCTCAACTGCTACAGCTTCGCCGTCAAGGTACGCAATGATTCCCCGTTCTACTTCAAAAGCTCCAAGCAACTGTTCTTCTCTGCAAACACCTGGGAGATGAAAGTGGTCATACATCTCATGTGATTTTTACTTGACATGAATGGTTTCAGAGTAGATTATGGAGTGCATCCCTGTATTGGTTCCGCGGTTCCAAAGAGACTGTAAGATAATGCCGATGGCTTACAGGTGCACATCGAGATGAACCAGCCTGTGATGGCAGCCAGCCTGTGTCTAGAACTCGGCAATGCCCTCAAGGTAAATCCTGAAAAAGATGAATCCTAGTTCAAACATCATATGTTTTCTTTTTTTAAATGAGTTGGACTCCTCTCCCGGTTTGAACAGGAGATGAACCGACCAGGAGAGGCTATCGTTCACTTCCAGAGGGCTGCAGAGCTGCAAACACAGACGCCGATTGAAAATCTGCTGTCCATGGGGGAAATGGCCACGTGTAAAATTCTCACCCGTGAGTCCCGTCGACGCGTCTACATCCGACATGCGGCTGACTTGTTCCATGTGCATTCGTTTATCCAGCGTTTGGACTCCGGCGCGTCTCTTGTGTTTTGGCAGGTGACTACGACGGGGCTCTGTCGGTGTTCACAGAGATGCAGCTGACGTGTCAGGAGAGAGGGCTGCAGCTACCGGGCATCAACACCCCTGTTGGTGAGGCTTTGCATTCATCCACAAGCACCACCTGCTGAAAAGAATCGCTTATTTCAGAGGCGGTTGAGTTGGAAAGTAAACCCAGTAATGTAGGGGTGTGAACATTTTAATGCTGAGGTCAAAAGATGGATGTTTAAACAAACTTTAGCAGTGTTCACAGGCAGTGTTTCACTCTCTGCTTTGCTGTTGATTTTGAGCTCCCTTCATTTCTCTTTTTCTGATAAAAGGGGCGTTTTTGGACATTGTGGCAAAATGTGAAATCTCCAGAGTTCTGCTGCTGATGTTTCTTGAGGTAAGCATGTTGATTTCATGTAGAAAGACAAGAGAGAACCATCTTCATTATTGTGAAGCGGGAAATAGACCTCAGTAAGGACCAAGATGTGTTTTAGGAATATATCCACCAGTTATTCTTATTAATCGGTAATAGTAATGAAACACTGTGCACCCCAGTGGAAGTATTTCTACCACTGATACACAAACACTCGCCAACACGTCAGTTTAAAACAGCCACAACTTACTGATGCCAAGTATTGATATTGTGTAACAACAATAGTACACAACTCACTGGTGCAGCTGCACTTTAATGGTCCAACGTTGCTTGTCGTCCCGAGCAGCCTCCTCCTCAGAAACTGTTACCGGAACACGGCCAGACCCTGGAGAGATACGCATGGGAGTCTTTTGAGCCTCACAGCCAAGGTAAGAGCATCTCAGTGTCTCTCTATTATTTGAGCAACGTAGCTTGTCTTTTTACTGCCAATGCAGATCATAAAGCCAACAAGTGGCATATTGTTGAAGCGTGTGTGTGTGTGCGTGTCCCTTCCTGTCCTCCAGTGACCTTCCTCCCGGAGAATGTTTTCCTGCTCCTGCAGTCGGTCGTGGTGAGTTTCATCATCCACAGGATTTCCTGATCCTTCATACGGGAACATTAATGGACGGTGTCATTCTTTTCTTAGTTCTCTCTTCATTTGCAGTGGTGTCGGCGTGTGGAGGTTCCAAAGCTCTTTTTACTTTTGTTTACTCATGACTTAAGTTAAACATCCACATTATTGGAAGACTTCTAAATGTGCAGAACCATTGACAGGAGGCAGAGACGTCGTCGGGGTCACCCGAGTGCAGTTGTGGTTTTATTTGTGCAGCGTTTCATCCTAAATGTGTTTTGCAGATGGCGTGTCAGGAGAAAGACACAGAGTCCCTCAAGTCTCTTCAGATTGAGCTTTGGTGAGCACTGCAAAGCGTTGATTGCCATCGCGTGACGGAGGTTGAGCGGCGTTTTGGTTTCTTCTACATCTTGGTTATGTTTTGTTTCTCCTCTTCCCTCAGGCCCTTTCTGACAGCGGAGCAGAATCACCTTCTCCACCTGGTGGTTCAGGAGCGCATCACACCGTCTGGACAGGGCATTTAGGGAGCCGGGGTCTTACTCACTTCCTCTGGGACTGACTCTGTATATAATGGAACATTCCTCTCTCTGACTGGGCCTGTTGTTTTAAACTGGCACTGACAGAAACGCTGCCCCACACACTCGTGTTTCAGGCTGAAAAGCTAAACGTATTTGGTAGGACTGCGTGTTGACTTTTTTTTTGTAGGGATTCTGATTTAAATTCAAATGAATTTGAATGAGATCTCTGATGCTCTGGAGACACTGAACTAATGAATTCATATGTATTATACAACAGACTTTAGTTGTACTTAAATAGTTTAATAGAGGAAACACAAAAGCTTTTGGTATAATTAGTTTTATTAATAAATGATATGGCTTTAATTCCAATATAATTACAAATAAATCCTACTGCAGAATTTTTTTAATATGGTGAAATTAAATCACCTCGATCTTGGTTCAGTTAATGTTCACCTGTACACATCGCATGTACTTTTCTGATAATAGCAGCCAACTACACACAGAAAATCAGAAAAAGAAAACAGTACAAAATGTTATAAAAATATAATGGTTACAATGTGCATTAAAAAGGATAATTATGCCCCAGAAGTAGAATGAGAATACATGATTAAAGCTACTTGTGCTGTATAATGAGGCTGGTCTTTCCTGGTTGTACTTGAACAGGTCTGTATGCATGCTGGACCCCACAGACCCTCACACATATTTGTTCCCACTCTGGAATCCTGCAGCAGCAACTGGGGGATACGGGATGATGAGTGTTTCCAGCTACGAAGTCTCAACGGGGCTTTTCTCCTCCCACGGGGTTGACTATTAGATTCCTAAAAGGAGCAGTTGGACGTGCTGTGTTCTCTTTCCTTCTTGAATAGTTCGATGAGAAGAATCAGAGACTGTTTCTATGCTAAAGGAACCCTCTGCTTTAATGCACAGATACAAGACTGAATGAAAACCAAATTATTTATCAAAATGTCATTTAATGGAAGCAAGAGCTCCATTTCAATTTATTATAGTCAAACCAAGTGGCTCTTTTAAGCAATGGAACGTCCTCCGCCCTGGTTTTCCTGCAGATGTATATCATCTATTTAACAGCCCCCCCAACTTCTGAAGCACATCCCATTCTTTGGAGTTTCCCTAATTCAAAGCGGGATCAGGACCCCGAGGCGGCCCTCGCTCCCCGTTTCCTCTCACTCGCTCTTCTTCCGCAGGATGAGGTAGGTGACGGCTAAGATGAAGGTGAGGACGAAGGAGATCCAGGCCAGCACGTAGGAGTGTCCGTACCTCCCCTCCTCCTGGCTGGAGGGGGGCGGCTTGGCCGTGTAGACTGAGGCTGCGATCATTACACACAGACCTGCCGGGCAGCAAAGGGGGAAATGGGGTTTGATGCAGACTGGTCCCATAAAGCCAGACCGCTCATCCCCATCGTCACGTGGCACTTCATCTCAACACATGCGTGTTTACTGTGTTCATATTATTATTCTATTTGCCTCCTTTTATTGCACTGTCCACAAAGACAAGTTCAAGTGTAACGTGGCAATAACCGGCTTTGACCCTGATGATTTTGATGGTTTTAGGCGTTGTATGCTGAATGAGACGCGTTGCTGTTTAATAAGATATTTGTTTATTAGTCCCATAATGGGAAAATTCACAGGATCAAAGAACACAAAAGTGTCCAAGTCCCTGAAATCTGTATATTTGGTGTTTTTCCTCTATGGAAACAATGATATTTCTATAATGGAGTTGTAACTATGGGGGATTATTAGTAGAATAAATCCGATGCCTTCTCATTGAGACCTTAGAGAGGTTGAAGTCTATGAAATAATCCAAACGTGGCGACATTCTTCTGCTCAGATCTCAGTTGTGGGGCTGAACAGTGGCACTTAAACCTTGATGGCTGACGTGACAAAGACCTTCTGTATGTGAATCTCTTCATGCTGCTCATGAGCTCTGCTTACTTATTTCCGCCTAAGTAACATTTGAATAAAGTTACTTTTACTTGGAATACAAAACTGCACAGAAATAAATGAATCCTCTTAACTGTATCTGCTCCTCTGGGGAAAAGTTCAAATAATTGAACACTGTTTTGTGCTCAGTCCTATTGAATGAGATTATTTACAGCCACATGCTCACATCCAGAAGGACTCTTAAGTCAAGCGCTCAGCGCACATCCCCCGTGGGACGGTACAGATCTGCGCTACAAGGAACCTGGAGAGATGAATCAATACCTGCAGCCGGCGTTTGACTGCAGGTCACTTACAGGCGATTAGCTGCAGGATGCCGGTGAAGGTGAACCTCTGGCCTTTGGGCAGAGTGAACAGCTGAGCCACAAACACAAACAAGGACAGGACGGCAAAAACACAGGCCAGCACCGAGGTGGCCTGAACCGCCTGGAGATCTTCTGCAGCAGGAGGGTGACAAAACAGACGGGTCAGTGAAAGGCCCACAGGGACCGAATGTCATGCATTGTGACTACTATTATTATTATTAGCATCCAAGCACAATATGTTGCAATCCCACAATGCCTTCTGTTTCTACATCTTAAGGACTCTGCAGTGGGAGCGAGTCAGCATGTGAACTTTACCCGGGTTTATCACGCTGGTGTAATTCCAGTTAGAGTCCTTCCACTCCCATCTGCCCCACAAGTCAGTTGACACTGTGTCGGTGACCCACCAGGCCTGAGGACAAACGGCAAGATGAGAGCAACACGTATCCAAAATATCAAAGCAAGTCACAAAATATTTGGTTTGATTTTTCCCATAAAATGTTTAAAGTTCTGTGTATGTTCTGCAAGCTGGTGTTGGGTCCACGTTATTCACAGCAACCGTAAATAAAATGTGACATTTGAATGTTTCCATTTAAACTGAAATAGTTCACATGTATTGTTTAATTGTGACATCACAGCTTGTTTAAAGGCGCCGTGTCCGATTACGCTGAGTAATTAATACTTCTAAGTATAAGTACTTATATGGCACTCTGACCTGCTTTACTAGACATAGAAATCCACTTGCTTACCAAATGAGTACTTTAAATACTCCATAAGAGTCGGTGAAAGTCTAAAATTGTTGGTGGTAAAAGACCAAAAAGCAATTATTTAGGGGTTAATGAGTTAAAGGAATAGAGAATAATCCACTTGCATTTTGGACAGCGGCCAGCAGCAGCAGGACGATGGAGGTGACGTGCAGGACAACGACTCCAGCCAGCGTCCACATCGTGGCCTTCTGAGGACTGAAGAGCGCCGTTATTTAGTCCCCAGCACGCTGAGGCCCGAGCCCGGGACGGAGAGGACACGAGACACTGAGCTCACAGCAGACGTGGAGGACCCGGGACGGAGAGGACACGAGACACTGAGCTCACAGCAGACGTGGAGGACCCGGGACGGAGAGGACACGAGACACTGAGCTCACAGCAGACGTGGAGGACCCGGGACGGAGAGGACACGAGACACTGAGCTCACAGCAGACGTGGAGGACCCGGGACGGAGAGGACACGAGACACTGAGCTCACAGCAGACGTGGAGGACCCGGGACGGAGAGGACACGAGACACTGAGCTCACAGCAGACGTGGAGGACCCGGGACGGAGAGGACACGAGACACTGAGCTCACAGCAGACGTGGAGGACCCGGGACGGAGAGGACAGGAGACACTGAGCTCACAGCAGACGTGGAGGACCCGGGACGGAGAGGACACGAGACACTGAGCTCACAGCAGACGTGGAGGACACGCATATGAATTTGGACACAGAAACACGGATCTGTTTGATCGGTTTCCGTCGACTAGAAAGGCGCGTGTTCGTGGATTCCTCAAACGAGCTGCGCTCCGACGCGCGCGCGGACACACGCGCACACACACACACGCGCGGGCGCGCACGCGCCCGTACTACAGTCAGCCACTCTGAAAAGAGCGCGAGAACCCGACGACAGAAACTAACTCACTGACTCACATCAACACTGTTTGTGTTCGTTAAAACGCGTTTTAATGCGCTGCGGAATATTTGCACATTTCTTTAAAGCGACGACTGCAAAAAAATAGTAGTTAGTAGTAGTTCACTTTTTCTACACTTTACACAACAAGAAAGCGTTAAGCGACGACGCGAGGGAGCGTTTTCCCGCCGCGTCGCCGCGTGGCCGTGGATCCGAGAGTGAAGTTACCTGAATGCGCTGTGACGCACGGGCCGGCGGCGGGTTGGGGAATGTGAACCAGAGTGGAGCCACCCAGCACACAGCACCCTGTTTTCGCTTTCTAGTCCCTCTCTTTCCTCCCACCAGGCCCCACCCATGACGTTTATCCCCCCCCCCCCCCCCTCAATGAAATGTGCAAACCAGGGTGTCCCCTTCAGCTCCACGTGCTGCGTAAAAGGACCACTCCATACTTGGACTGTTTTTAACACTTCTGTGTATTATAAGGAAACCTTCAGGAATATCATTTTGCAAACACATAAGCGTGTCTTTTGCTTTCACACCTTTACCCGGTTCATTTAACAAGCGACTCCTCCAAAGATGGGACATTAAGAAGTGAGCGGTGTCCCACCTGGGACGCCTTCATTGACACCAACGTGGTCACAGCAAGTGAAACGTCAAATGAGACACTGGCTCGTAGATGTAACTTCCATCGATAGAAAAGAACCTGATAAAAAGAGTTTGAGATCAGCTGCAAGCGGACAATGAGTTTGTACAGGAACATAATTTTTACTTGTCCAAATGTCCAATTTAGGTTGCAAAATGTGTATCTAACAAATCTATATAAACTGTACATTAACTTTCAAATTGATGGTCTCCAGTAGTGTAAAGTGCCTGAACTTCCATTGACAAAAACATTCATCCACTGAGCAACATTTATGTTTTTTTGCTCTGCACGCCGGAAAAAAACGGTTTGGAGTGAATAATAAAACTTTCCAGACGTTATCAGCGGTTGCCAACAGAAACAGAAAGGAGTAAATGAACAGACTAGACTTTCCAGATAAACAGTCACATTTTAACTGCAAACTGTGCTATTTTCAATAGACACTGTCCGGTATATTTGATTGTTAAATCATGTGTATTCAGGGATTACTTGATTTGGTGGAGCCTTTTATCACCGGTCTCACCTGAGAGAAAGCTTGAGCGATGTTCTCTTCTTATTACTACAGAAGAAGAATGTACAAAAAGTAAAACCACATACGTGTACCTGCGTCTTGTCTCCCCTCAGGCCGCGTGGTCCCTCAGTGAAAACCACACTGGCCTGATCCCACAATGGCTGCTTTGTCCTCCAGGACACGGGACGAGGAGAGATCCCATAATTGCTTCCTTTGGCTTTCTTCACCGACCGCTCCCTCATAAGTCAACGGCACCGATTCACTCGGTAACCTGCAAACGTTTCACGAGAGTAGGAATCCTACTCGGGTCATGTGTGGTACGTTGAGTCAAGGATCTACACGGCTCGCTGCAGGAAAGCAGAGATGTGCACAGATACTGTGGAGGGGAAACAGGAAGTGAGGTTGTATTTCCTCGGTTTCCGGTCTTTGACTTTGGGAACATTAAAGGTAAAAGAATAATTCCAACCTTTACGTGAGTAAAGTAGTAATACATGTAAAAAGGAACATTTGTCACCCACGTTCTCTTTTTTTGTGTTGAGACCTCTGGAAATACCTTGTGCGTTGTTTCAAAGACAGCCAGGTAATAATCTCCCAGAAAATTGGATGCTTATCTCGGTGACTTGAATGCGATGGTGCTGTAATCCACTGGAGGCCCAATCTGGGCCGAGGTTCAGTTGAAGTCGAGCATCTGTGGATCAGACCTATTGAAACCTAATATCTCTTTAGCGGCGAGCGCATTTCTCAAAAGTCCTGTGTTCCGTGTAGCGCTGGCTGGGTGCTCGTGGAGCCATTATAAGTCTCCATTTCTATCGAGGCATCGCTGTGATGATCATCATATCGAGGGCGGTATCATTGTCACAGGGCGTAGGAACAGACAGGGAAGTATTTTCTCCCAGTAGTGACTCTGAATAGAAGTCAGACCATTATAACTGACCCCTGGTGGTTTGTCACATCCTCACAGCGAAGCGTGGGACGGTGCTCCGCAGCGCTGGTTACGCCTGATCTGAGTCACTGGAGTGTTCTATTCCCATCACAACATGTGGGCCTGTAGAAAATACAATCTGCCCTTTGGGCAGTGCGGAAAGTCACGGAGAAGTAGTTGCTGCTGAAATAATGAGATCTTTCAGGAAAAGATGCTGACAATGATCCGATGTCTAACTTTGAGCGGGTGGATGTCGGATGGTCCGACGGTTTGTCCACCAGGAGTAGGGCCGGACGAAAAGTCACTATGAGGACGTCTGGTCAATAGAATTGTATCATAATGAAAACAGATGGACTCTGGGAAAGACTGCAGCCCCCACGCGACCCTGTGCAGGATGAGCGGTTTGCAGATGGGTGGATGGACTCTAGAACTAAAGTTCTTAAGTACATACTTATTTGTCAAGTATTTCATTCACTTAAGAGTGAAAAAAAAACGTGTCAATACTTCATATCAAACCCAATCCTCATCCAGCGCCATCGTCTGGTCTGAATTCTGCCTGCACGCCAATACGGTGAACGTGGTAAACGTTAAACCAGCTCAATTCTGCACATCAGCACCGGCCAATGCAAATGTTAGCATGCTAATGTTAGCATTAAGGACAGCGTCACAGAGCTACTAGCATGCACTCTTATCGTCTTATTATGGTCACAATACAACAACAGTTAGACAGAACACATCGTCCCCAAATGGATAATAATTTTCCACTAACCTCATTTGTGTATGTATGTGAAATAATCGTATTCCATCCAGACCCCTAAAACGATTCACCCTTTCATTGAAATGGTCCCAGCTGGTGAACAACTGTGACAGGTGATGATCTCAAGAAGACATTCCTTTGATTAATGGGGTCACAAGCTAAAGATGTTCAGAACAACTGCTCACCACCTTCACACAAAACCTCTCGCCACAATGTGTGGAGGATCAGAAGTCTTCTCAACTGTGAATGAAAAGACATATTTGGCGTTTCAGGGAGATTTTTATTAATGCAAGATGACCACACTCTACCCGGGTAAATCATGGCAGGTGCCAGGGATCAAAAAGTGCAAACAAGTGACGCACACTTCTACGCAGGCAAATCTTGTCCAATACGTCCATCTTGTTTTTCATATGCATTAATTTGGGGAAATATAAATAAATATATTTATTATATTGCGTGCGTCATTGCGTGTTGCAGAGCGATTCACCGCCAGAACAACAGGCGGAGTAGAGAGGGAGAGTCACGTCTTTGTGTGTGGAAGTCGTTGGTTTGTTTGTTTATTTATCATAGACTTTATTGCCCCGCGCATCCACACTGCTGCTTTTCATCAAGGACACATTTGTCCCGTATTTTCCTCCACGACTTTGTGCACCTCCGTGAATCCAACCCGCTTCTACAACCCGCCAATGACGGCTTGTATAAGCGCTCATATTTACGCGTTTCTTCCCACAAAAGTTCTTAAATCCGATCCGTTCACTCGTAAACATTATATGATAAATAAATAAACAAATAAACAAATAGACGTGACTCTCTAGGTCGTCTTCAACAAAAACGCGTCACTCCGCCTGTTGTTCTGGAGGTGAATTGACGCAGAAGCACGCGCCTTAGACCCCGCCTCCCCCCTGTGGAGCCTTTTCATTGGTCCATTCTTGATGACTGTTAATTGTTCGCCTTCATCTTCACCTGAGGTGTGTGCGCGCGTGCGAGCAGAGCGCGTCATCGAGCAGGACATGTCGTACCAACAGAGAAACGATCTATCGACTCATTTTCTACTCGTCGTAACCGTTTATTTGTACACGTTTCAAGCGAGTCACTCGGTGACTTTATCACGACGCGGAGGAGGTCAAGAGCCGCCCGCCGCGGGGGGGGCGAGAGAGCGGGTCAGTCGGGGCCCGAGTCCCGCGGAGCTGCGGCCCGGAGCCGCCGCCCCCCCCGCGGCGGAACCCCGTCCCCGCTGGGCTTGGACCGTCGGTAACATCAGAGCAGAACCGACGTCTTCGGCCGGCGACTCGGAGGGAAAACAGGCCCGTTTTACAGGTTAAAGCCTCGCCGTCAATGCCACTAATGAACGGACGCCTTTGCGAGTTTGAGAGTACGGCGGCAATTAATCAATTAAACGTTTATATACTTACTGTATGAGGTGTTGTTATTAACACGTGGCCTCATGATGTCAGGGTTGAGGGTTGAGGACCAAGTCTGTGTGCAAGTAGTTCCTTTCTACTCAGGCCTACTTTATACTTCCACCCATCCACTTTTACATTTACAACTTTAATTATTTCAAGTCCATCAAGTAGTTTTAATATCTAAGGTCAATATTCTCCCCCCTGACAAACTCATTATTCCGCTTAAATAATAATGTCTGCTTGAAAATGTTAACTTCCGGGCTCTTGAATAGAGTACATCTTTTTTATTCAAACACTATACTTCACAGCTGAGCAGGAGCGCTCGACAAGGACTTGATCCCATCTCTGATTACGATGTGATTGATGTCCTTCAGGGGTCCAGGGGGTCCAGGGGAAGGTTTTGGGCCCATCCTTTGACTCCAGCTCGCGTGTGTCTGAGTGGCGCGCCATGAGCCCGGGGGTGCAGTGTGACGATGGTGTCATGACCTTCACCGCCTCTGGAAAACAAGTCAAACAGCTGTTCGTGGACAGAGGTAAGACGTACTCCGGATGAAGCGGGCAGCGCTGTTTGTGGAAGATTGCTAATGGAGGAAAAGACCTCTTGGTGCAACGGATGCCTACAAGTACGCAAGTGGCCCACAGTGCTGGAACAAGCCTTTAAGAGCCCAGTGTGATCCTGGAGAACATGTTTACGCCAGCAGCAGAATATTTTACATAGAGGTCATTTTATACTCTATGTGACATTAATTTACTGCTTTTTTTTCTTTCTGCTTTGATTTTTTTGTGTGTAGAATGTCAACTGTGTTAATGTGCTTATCAAGATTTCCCAGCTTTCTAAAATAGCTGGTTTCGTGCAACCCAGTTTATACCAGATTTTGTGTGTGTCTTGATAAGTGCTGACACTGGATCAGCTGATCACGTGATCGTTACTGTGAACTGTGCCGTTCAACGTTCTCTCTTCCCAGAGGAAGCTTCTCCCATCTCGCTGTTCCAGTTGCCTCGAAACTGCCATTACTCCGTGAGGACGTCATGGAGTGACCTTGAGATGATGGTGCCTTATGATGCTTGTTCCATCACACAGGAGGTACCTACCTACCTGTCTGTCAAGAGTGCCTCACTTGTCCTATGTTCATAGCCCCCCACCCCTCTTACTGTTTTTTATTACCCCCCCCCCCCCCCCTCAGAATGGCAGTTACGTGTTGCCCATGTTGTGGTGTGGCCTCCCACTGAAGCTCTCCTGTCCAGTGCAGACATCCACCCCCGAGTCTGCCCTCTCAGTACTGTGCTCTTCCCACGGCATGGCAGTGCAGATTAATAGGGAGGAGCTGGATGAACAAATACTAGGGGTCATAGGTATTTTGTTTTTATTAGCTTAGTATAATAAAATCTCATGCATTACAAGCCAAATCTTTAAATTTGTTTTAGTTTTTGTCCTTCCACAGTTAGAAATTTATTTTTTCCTCTCAGGCTAATCTTTAGACCGACTAGTTTTAGAATCACTGTAAATTGTAATCTGCTTCACAGTGAACGGCCGATGGGGTCCGTTTGTTTCTGAGGACTGTGCGCACCGCTTCCCCTCTCATCTGGGAAAGCGTCACTTCTTCATCCCGTTTGGTGCTCAGTGTATCACTAAAGGAGTAAGTTATTTAAAGCAACTACATGGAACCTTTTCTGCATTCCTTTAGTCATTTCATTTTAAAGCCCCTCCCACTCTCATATTGCCCAGTATCTGCCACAAAATATAACTCCAAAAAGACTATGGCTCTCTATTCGCTGATTGTCTCATCTGCTTATGTAGGTCATATAGAGGCACTAGTTATAAATTGTGTTTCACAACCGGTTGGAAACTTATGTGATGGGTCTTTTTTTTCCAGAAGGGGTCTCGTCTCCATCTCACGTCAGATGATCAGGAATACATCCTCTCTTGTCCAGTCAATCCTCAGTTTCCCTATGCCGACTTTCCTCCTCTGACCCGGGAAGACACTGTTAAGGTCCCTGACATCCCCTACTACCCCTATTCTGGATTCCAGTACCCCCAGGTTAATCCTTCTGACCCCCAACCTGCAGTGGCAAGAACTACATCCTCTCCAGACATTACCCAAAGTCCACATACCCCTCCCGAATTAGCTATTGGCTCTTCTGGTTCTGCAGCTGGTTGGTATTACCCCTACGTACCGTTCACACGCCCTACAGCAACACCAGCTGAACCATCTGCCGCTACTACTGTTCCTCCAGCAACTCCTGATTACCGTCCATATTATCATGAGATGCCTCCCTATCCGGCAGCACCAGGGACCCCGGCCCCTTCAAGCCAGCCGACCCCCTCGCCCCCAGAACAGCCCTTGGGTCCGCAGAACCCCGGCCCCGATGCATTTCCTCCCCATGCCTCTTACTATCATCACTATCCGGGCCTTGAGGTACAGCCTGCCTCCCCTTCACATCCTACCAGTGCTCCACCTTTCCCTCCTCCGCCCACGGTTGCGCAACACTACAGTCCCAGCTATCCATTTGGCTATTTCCCCGCCGGAACACCCATCTGCTCGCCACTGCCGACATCTCTGGAGCCCGGCAATGAGAGGGTGGCTCCTCAGGCAAACTGCCGCCCCTATTCTCACCCGCATCCCAATTATCCTTATTACCATCCGCCCTGTCCTCCACCTCACCAGCCTTTGGCCTGGTATCCAGAGAGTCAGCCCCCACTCCACACCACCACGATCACCCCTCCAAGTTCTACAGCATCCGCCACAGCTGGACCCACACCACCGCTACCCCACCTACAGTGTGACGATGGGAGGATGGTTGTCTTCCTGCCTTTTGCCCACCCAGACACCATCCAGGTCAGAGGTCAGTGTGTGTGTATTAACTAGTGTGGCTTTTCACATTCTCAAAGGAAGTGGATTCTTATGAAACGATATACAGACCGTCATGGTCCCCAGAGGATGACTCCTGAGAGCTTTAGTGTTTCCCTGTCCCTTTAAAAAAAAAAAAATTGATCTGCCCAAACTTTCTTGATGGCATTAAGGGTTTCCAGATGATTTATCCTAATGAGTTTGATTCCCTGATTTCCCTTCCAGCGCTTCAATCAGGACAACGTTTCCAATTGTTCAGTACTTTTGTTGATGACTGAGTAATCATTCAGCATACTTGACTAGTATGGTCACCACGGTCAATTTGAAACCTGATGGCCTTCCTGTAAACCAGTTAGCATTTAGCTCCAACTATTTCCACCCTTTACAGTCCCACAGAGACTGTAATCTAATGACTTTTATTCAAGCTTCTCTGGGATAAAGTTTATTGATCCTGATGCAATATGTTGTCGCTGGTCCTGAACAAGCACCGATACAGGTATCCACAACTTTGTCGCTTGGTCAGAGACCTATTTGTGTAACTAGATCAACTTCCACCTCAAGTGAAGCTGTCATCGATCTAACACGGCTTGTTTCTGACGTCAGACCAAACGAAGACATGGCTGTTGGTCCCTGATGTGTCTGCGGTGTGTGGCTTCGCGCTGCAGGCGGCTCAGGGCTACGGGGTAACCCTTCGCTCTCCTCTACCCGCCTGCTACAGCCAGCTACTGGTGAGCTCTCCTCACTGCCTGATGTGTCACCTTCGCAGAATTGCTCTACTTTAATCCCGTCCCCGCTTCTTTAAGGCGTGGAAAGGCATTGAGTGTTTTTTTTTTTTTTTATGTGATGAACGGCAAAGTAAACATTGGCTTCCTTATTATGAGCGACACAACAGCCATCTACACAACGTTTTCAGCTGACGCGTTGTGTGACGAGATGCAGGTCAAAGCGTCCGTCTGATCCATTCCATCTGAATGAACAAGGCGATGGACTTAAAGTGCAATTCAGCGACATGTGCAGCGACGAGCGCTGGATCAGAGTTGTGTGCTGCAGCGCTTGGTGGCTTTAGTCGATCGTAGACATTAGTGACAGGTGTGTTAAAAAAAATAATTAGCTTGAGAACACTGCACACTAGCTGCCACTTTCTTTATTAACCGTGTGACAGCCCTGAAGGTCCCTGTAGAAATGTTTTACACGCTGCCAAACCAAGCAGCTTAAGTCTTTCATGAAGACGATCACGCGTGTGTGCTAATGCATATTGGTACAGAGAGAAATACTTTGAATGCCTCAATGCAAAGTAATACACCACAGAACAAAAGGGTCTTGGATTGCTGACATTGGTCATTTGTACCACTTGGGTTGTCACTACAGTGATTTATGACCCCTGTGCTTGTGTGTAAATTAAACGAGCAAGCAGTTTTTCAGCAGCTCCAATTTACAATTCTCGAAAAAAGTGTTTTTGCAACCCTCCTGGTAAATGCTCCACCTTATTTTTGACTCCAGTAAAGCATGCGCGGTGGTTCATTGTATTGATCTGGCTGTCCCCGTAGACGCCATCGACGGTTTCCTTACTGCTGAGGTTTTGGGACCTTTCCGTCGGGCAGTACAGAAGTCTGGAGCTGCGATGCCCGTATCGACCGGCCCGTGAAACTCCCGTACCAGCTACCCCCCCACTGCCTCCCACCACCCACCATGCCGGACCGACTGTTCCGAAGCCTAAAGTCTTGTGCTCCTCCCACCAGATGACTGTGGAGCTCCCCTCTAGTTCTGTCTCTGGAATAGTTTTTAAAGGTGTGTGTGTGGACTGTAATGGTTCATGGGGGCTCTGGCCAACAGTTGAATGTGAAGGAGGTTAAAGGTAGCTATGGTCTGTTTAGATCGGCGGAGCTCTTTAACGCTTTGCCTTGCTATGCTGATCGCTATCTTTTTTTTTTTTTTTTTAAAGTCTCCACTAAAATAACTTATTGTAGGCTTCCACATGTACATCTCCAGACATCAAAGGGAACCAAATGGGTCTCCAGGATGCCCCACAGCACTGTGGGTATTCTGCGAGGAAAAGCAAGGAGGGCCAAATCCATCTTATTATCCAGTTACACTCACGCTGCCACATGAGCGTGCAGGCAAGTATCGACTTTCCCACTGAGCCCGTGACCTTTTTGACCGTCTGCTGTGCCCATTAACTGTCGCATAAACACGTTTCTCTGAAAGGGTCAAATGTTCATCATCGCTGTTGTCTACGTGACGGTGAATGGGAGACGGGAGGCTCAGTTTTCCTGTCCAGTTGTCACTCCAGGGTCTGGACAAGGTAAATGGATTCTATGTTTACACCTCCCTGACGGCGCTTCAATGTGCCCGTGGGTTGTTTTCTCCCGGCCATTCAGAGATCTGAACCGATGCGGCTGACATTTGTCCTGCTGTCCCTCAGAGTGCAACCTTCCCAGTGAGCAGCGTCTCCCCTGCGGACCCGGCTCTGTGTCCCATTCACAGTGCCTCTCCGTGGGCTGCTGCTCCGGCGACGACCCCCCCGCATGCTACTACCCCATGGATGGTGAGCCACGGTTTGTGTCCCCTGCTGGCATTTTCACGCCACTTTAGCAGAGTACAGTTGAGCCGCTTCAGAAGTGGAAGCGCTCCAGCTGCTGGATGTGCAGAGCGGCATATTCAGGCCCAATAGGAGCATGATTCAAGCTGGCAGTGACGCCGCACCGAAAAAGGGTACAAGATACCTTGGGTCTCATTATCAATCACCTCCTGAGATTTCTGACCTTTCTTTTTCATCTGACCTTTTTTAAATGACTGCATGTGTTTGTCCCTCTCCAGAGTGCACTATTGACCGCCACTTTGTCTTCTCCGTCCCGGCCTCCCTCACGGAGCCCCCCCTCTCCCCTGATATGCTTGTTGTTGCCGGCAACTCCACCTGCAAACCGCAGAAGGTGACACCCGACTATGCATTGTTCAATATCCCAATGGACGGCTGCGGGACACGCAGAGTGGTAAGCTTTAATAAATAACGTTTCCCAAAATATAGAAAAGCCACAAGGTCCTTGACTGAATTGCGTTTCTGGACAGGTTTCAGTTAATAGATTATTGATTTATAAGCCTTGTCTGGTGGTATTGGTAGTGTCCACATTTTAGGTTTGCTGTGTGATTCTGTCCTGACAGACAGTGGGGGACGCAGTCATCTACATGGTGGAGGTCATCAACAAGGTTCCGACACTCAGCCTCAACTACGGCACCATCACAAGGGATTCTTCTCTCAGGTGCACGTTGGGTACATTTTGGAGTGAAGACCCAAATTCCCCAAAGTAAAATGATCAAACAAAAGCTCCCTGTATGTTTCCCAGGTTGCTGGTGGAGTGCAGGTTTCTGCCAGGCTCCACTCTTGGTGTGAGCTACTTGGTGAAGACTCCCACCCTGGGACCCAACGTTCCGGCCCAGGGGATGTTTGGCGTCCAGCTACGGATCGCCAAAGGTAGTGTTTATTTAACTGTCCCCCATTTAAGAGCTTGAGATTTTGTTTAGTTGGAACCCGGTTAATGCCAGTCAAGAGGCATGGAAACTGATGACCAATATAATTCCTATCCAGTGTTTTAACAACAGATGCTTGAAGCCCTTCCTGCTCAGCTGTTTGAGAACTAGCTCTGAGTGGGTGGAATGTAGTTTGCCAAATATTCCTATTTTTATTCCAACGCGCCTCCTCTCACCCCAGACGCCCAATACAGCAGCTACTACCCCCAGAATCACCCGCCCCTGCAGATGCTGCTGGGGAAACCCCTCTACCTGGAAGTGCGGCTGCTCAATGCCCCCGACCCCAGTTTGGTGCTGCTGGTGCACTTCTGTGTGGCCTACCCCCTCTCTGGAAAGGCTGTGTGGCTGCTGCTCTACAATGGGTACGTGATTTATTTATTTATTTGCGCTGGTGTCCAACTGACTCACTGATTTTCGATACAACTCCCAAGGTGTCCCAACCCGTATGACCCCGCCCTGAAGCAGGCGGTGCTCTCGGACACCCGGCCATCCACTCCTGCAGCTCAGACCCGCCGCTTCACCATCAGCACCTTCCAGTTCCTTCCGGATGGTGAGTTCAGGGACCCGGACGAGGAGGTGAGGAGAAAAGGCCCTTGAGGTCAATAGTTAACAGTAGTGGTTCATGGAGAGCGTATTTGCTCTTTGCATAGTTGTTTTTGAGTCCTCAATACTATTAATTTCCTTAGTTTTAAAATGGAACTACACTGAATTGTTCTACCAGCAAAAGGCATTTACCATCATTTATGGCCGTGTATAAAGGTGAAGTCAGACATTTTGGGAAGTCTTTCTTGCCAAGCGTTCGTTGAGATGATGATGCATGAGGCCCCCGTCCAAACTAAGAAAGATATGAAGCTACAGCAAGGCCACGGTTAGCTTCGCTCAACATAAACACTGGCTGTTAATCCAAAATGTAAAAACAGTTTTTAACCCATTCAAGTGCGGTTGGGATGACATTATGTTTTACTTTCTGTATAAATATTAACATATCTATACACTAGTGTAGACCTTCTCAACCTACTTTTGCTATAGAAACCAAGTGGAAAAAGGCTTGTTTCCCAAATAGTCATCTACATCTTAGCCCATGCTTCCCTTTATAATGAATAAGGTGTAACAGGAGTGCCTGTGAAATTACCTCCTGGGAATCAAAGCTTTATCTTAGAGTGGCTGTTGGCATTGGATCTTTATTCTTTAGACTTCCTGTCTTCATCCTGTAAAAAAAAAACCTAAACTTTTTTTTTTTTGTTCTTTTAACATGTAAAATTGAACATTTCCAGTTGTATCTCTCAAGTCTGCTTTCATTACAAGCACATGTGAAGAGGCCGTCTTTGTAAACCTCTGGCGAGATCTGGATTGCAGCAGCTGTTTGTCACAATACGCTGCCCACTCAGGAGATTGGCAGCTACATCAAATCCTGCTCTGCTTTTTGCTTTCAGAACAACTTCATGTGCTCAACGGAAATCTGCTCCCCCCGTGACGGGCCGTGTGTGGAGGGATGCTTCGGCCAGTGACGGTGAGGAAACGAGCGCCATCATACCGACTCACTGAAACAAGCCGGCAGGAGCTGCTGTCTGACAGCACGGCGATGATTTAGTAATGAGGGTTTTTAATTATTTATAATCTCTGATCCATTTCCTGTTCTTCAGTTTACGACGGGGAGCCGGTAGAAGTTGTGCGGGATCGGTAAGCTGTACTAATGAGTTTCTGTCCACACGATTGGTCTGTTATACTAAACATCTCTTTTCCTCTCGTCCTTTTCAGGCCTCCACACATCACAAACACTTAATAAAATATCTTCAACTCTGAGTGTCTGTTTATTCCTAAACCTGCAGACAGGTTGTGCAGCAGGAACCGGCCCTCACACAACGAGGCCGTATTGTTTACATGACGACGTGGAATGTCTCTCTGTGAGGTTTAGGGACTCTGAAGTTGAGATCAACAAGGATTCAATAACTAACAAAGTACAATTACAAAAAGAATTGTGCAATGATTGTGCTCGGCAATCATCCCTCTCCCCGCCCAGTCTGACAGACTGTCTCCTCCCTGCAGTCTGCAGACCCTTGAACGATTGGCTTACAGCTGTCTGTGGGTACGCAGCTTGGCCGTCCCCTTGTCCCTCCTCCGTTCCAAGCCATGGCCACGCCGGGCTGTTTCTTTCCAGTTTCCCCGGTTCCCTCTGGCACCATCCTGTGATTGTCTCTGACGTCCCTCAATCACCTAATTCTCCACCATCTATAACGGAACACATTAAATGAGTGTACAGTGGCCTAAACTTGGTCTTAAGTAACCATATGGGATACAACACATCGCCTCATCGTCCAACAAACACTCAACTATATTTCATAACCGCAAAAACCTAATCGACCCCTTCCGTATCCTCCCACATCACCGGGCTGTCCAATCGGTGCACATGTGACATCCTCTGTTCCAAAACCCTTCAATGGGGACAAAAAGGAAGACGGATCCTTTTCTCAGGATGTGAGCGTAGCCCTCTGAACAGGCACTAATGAGCGTAGTATAATATATCACCATTTTATTTGAGTAATCCTGACTAAAACGGATAACCTGCTGATGGGGTCTTCAATACAAAGTAATTGGTAATGTTTTCTTCCTTTTGCTGCTCAGTGTGTGGCCACTTGGTGATTGAGCCATGGGTACATCACTAAGCTATAATGTACCTGAATCAGTCTCTGCATGTTGGCTTTTAATTATAAACACATTTATAATCTTAACAGTATTAAAGACTTAGTTTAACATTTGGAAATACTCCAATTAAAAGTGGGGTTAAGGTGGGACATTGATGGAATTTGGGAGACTGTCTGTCCTGGGAGGTATTCGTTGTGTGTCACTTGTTTGTTGAAAAGTGAAATAGTTGTGTAGAAATGAGAAAAGTTCAAACTCCACACAGCTGGCCAATCGGTGCGTGATGTGTATGCGGGTTGCTGGTTGTAGCATAAAGACTAAAGTCTAAAGGAGTTTGTACGACAACCGAAGGGTAAAAACACGACCAGTTATGGTTGATGTGAATCACAGCTCCAGGGCGACAAGTCGACCACGGGGTCTGTTTGCAAATGTGCTTCATCCGCCCGCCTCTCCCGGTGTTTCCCTCCGGCTTTAGCCTCTGACCACTGGGTGTCATCCCAGCTATAAAAATGCCAAAAGCCGCACGAGGTTCTGCGTGCTGCGTGACTCACACCGCTGGGCTGGTGTGCGGCCCGTGGCCCGCGCTATGGGGGGTGTGCGGCCCGTGGCCCGCGCTATGGGGTGTGCGGCCCGTGGCCCGCGCTATGGCTGGTGTGCGGCCCGTGGCCCGCGCTATGGGGGGTGTGCGGCCCGTGGCCCGCGCTATGGGGTGTGCGGCCCGTGGCCCGCGCTATGGCTGGTGTGCGGCCCGTGGCCCGCGCTATGGGGGGTGTAGTGGGGGAGGAACGTGTCAACTCTGCCGTGCGCCGCGCACACCATAAAAACCCGAAAACACCATTATTAAAAGCACGCATCGCGTTCTTGCACCGCGAGACACACAGAGCAAATGGTCGGGTTGTTACCGGGAGAGGTGGTCTCTCCGGGGCCATGCGACCCCCCTCCCCCGGTGAAATGCATGGAAGCACTGCGGCACACTGCGCGTATCCTGCAGGCTGCATGGCTGTGCGTCTCGTTCAGAGGGAGAGCGGAAGATGGGAGGAGGGGAAGGACTACAGCGAGAGGGGAGGAGGGAGGAAGGAGGGAGGAGGGACCGTTTCCTTTCTGTAACACACACGCCACAAGATCGCACTGGGAAAACGGGGAGAGGAAAGACAATTATAGGCGAGCGAGGCGAAGGAAAGACCGCAGCCGCTGCGCGCGTTTCGCTGGTTGAGTAGTGTCTGTTTGAAAAGGGGGGAGAGAAGTGGCGCCGTGTCCTTTAGCGCGGACTAACATGGGGGAGAGAGCGAGCTCCTGACGCGCATTGACTTTGAGTGAACCTCTGCTCCGCGGCGCGCGGGGAACAAGGAAGACGCGTTCTCGGCTCGCGGCTCGCGGTGGGATGTTGGTGTAAACACACAAATACCACGCAAACACCGAGCGGACGCTTCTTCGCGGGGGGACAGAGAGAACACAACGAACCGCGGCGCGGATGGACGTTTGGCGGTAGGTTTTGCGTTGGGTTGTTGTGGTGTGAGGAGCGCAGGCCTCTCGTTCAGCCTTCGGCCGGCTCGTCAACACGGGTTCAGCGTAGCGGGTCACGGGAGCCGGGAATTGGCTGTTTAACGTTCATTAGATACTTTAGAGACAGCGGCGGGCAGGTTGCATTAAGCCACAGAGGGTAAACATTCCCAGATAGATCAACTATTCGGGGGGGGGGGGGGCGTCATAGAAGAATATACAGAAAAGGCTTCTTTGCGCCATCGGGAGATCATCTTAACTGCGGAGGAAAAAAACATCGTGCACAGGAGTAGGCAGGTAGCGAATCCTCCTCCGGCTCAGCTCAGCGCGGGGGGGCAAAAGACGATTTTTAAATGTTAATGTCGACCGACGTTGCATCCATCATGCTGCCTGTGTCCCGGGGTCTCATGGACCGGGATAGAGAGCTGGAGCCCATGGCCGGGGTGCACCCCAACGCCGGCGTCGCCCCGGCGATCGTGCGGGGCATGAAGCGCGGGGACCCGGAGCCGGACGGACAGGCGGCGGCCGCTCTGGTGGACTCGACCGGGGCGGAGTGCAAGCGTCCCCGGATCGACGGCTCCGGAGGGATCGTCGAGGTTGGCCAGGTGAGCGACTCTTTGTCCAAACAGCGTAACGCACACGCGACTTGTCGGGATCCCGCTTCACCTCCCTTCATCGTATGTACTCTTCTTTTGCACAGTGGCGTCATTTTAACCAATGCATTCATGTGAGTAAGTCATCAGTTCACATGTCCCCCCGATGCCCCCCCCGATGCCCCCCCGGGCGACTGCGCTCAGTCCGTAAGCACCACGTTTCACAGCCGCTCATGACTCTACGTGCGCTTAATTCTGCTTTACGGGGGGGGCAGTAAGCGTGTCCTTCCACTGGGCTGTTTGAGCTACAATGTAGCATTGGAGCTATGGAGCCATGTAGCATTGCGGCTGCTACATTGTAGCTCAGGCATTTCCTCCACGTTCCAGAGTCGCTTTAGTGCAACATTTGTGCATCAATCCGCCGGGCTGTCCCGCTGCCTCCCGCTGCCTCCCGCTGCCTCCCGCATTGATTCAAGCATCTCCGTAAACTACAGCTTCTCATCGACGGGTGAACCATGTAAACAAACGAGACCTTTCAAACAAACAAACACCTCAGCCATGTGACCAAATGGTTTGGGCAACATTTGTTTTGGGAATGTACGTCAGCTCTTGTTTATGTGATCTCTGAGGAAGGGGGGCAGACACAAGGGGGGGGTATTTAAAGTAAACAAGGCCTCCGGGTTGGTTGGGGGGGGCGGGGGTAGTTACCTTTCGTATCAGAACCCTGCTTTCATTCAATGCTTCTTTCTTTTTTCTTTCAATGTCCCCCCCCCTCCGAACCCCGAACTGGTGAAATGTTCCTTAATAGAGTGGCAGGAGGGCAGGAGGATGCTCTGGTCATCATTATAGTCTATTATGTAGGGGGAAGCACTCCGCTTGGAGGGGAAAAGTGGAAAAGCTCTTTCTCCTCTCCGACTGTCAGTAATGGAGGTGAAGTGGTCCGTTTGGAGACCTAAAATGGCTCCACATCGTTGTGCCGTGTGTGAGTGCCGACGAGCGGCTCAGGAACGTAATGCACTTAAAACCAGATGTGAGTGGAAGGGTGTGTTGTGTTGGTAGAGAGAGACGCACGGATCAATAGCTTCAGCCCCTAAAACGTATCGAATGTGAGCTAGCTGGTCAGTCCGGAAATGAGAGTGAGAGAAGTACCTCCCCGCCTCACTGCCTCCCTCCCTCCTCTCCCTCCCTCCCTCCCCGGTTGGTGCAGGAGCAGATTTGCCCTATCACTGGCAGTAAAGAGGCTTTGTTTCCAGCTAATGGGATCACAGCTCATACTGGAGGGGGCATTATAACCACACTGATCCTGAGATCCTTATCTAAGGCAAAGGGGTTTACACACACACACACACACACACACACACGATAAGTTGTCATGATGCAGAGAAAGCTTTTTTGCTTTCATACACCCAAATGAATGCATTGGGCAAGAGAGTCATGATGAGCATTGTTCACTGTTAATGATGTTTTATTGGTGGTAATCACCAAGATGTCTCCTTGGACTTTGATGGATGTTATATTGACTAAATTGTCAATCGAGATGATACACACACACACGCACACGGGCTGGGGAAGTTAACGCTGTAATTACCCAACGCCAACCATTATTTTATCAAATGTACACATACAGATAAACGTATGATCAGTATTGACTTGGCAGGGTTATCGTCACAAGTCTCAACCAATGAGAGTATTTGGGGGCGGGGCTTAAGACTATTTCATATCTCACTTGAAGTAAACAGAAGGACTGGCGGTAGCAAAAGTCTTTTAAAACCTCTTCGAGGCGGCGGAGTTGACAGAACCGGTTATTTGTAACCTGCATCACCAAAAGTGTGTTCTTTTGTTTTTTCGACCAAAAGAAATCCAGTATTAACACGGACTGAAATGTCCCTTCACAGTAAAGGTCAAGTGCTCCAGCACAGCGACACTTGCCATTGAACTTATTGATTATTCATTGTGGATAGACTATTTGTGTTACTTTTGTACCCTTTTCAGACATTTATAAATGTCAACCTGCCTGTTATAATGTTATGATCACGGAGGTTAACTTTTTTCGATGAATCTGGATTAAACGTTAAATAATAAACGTCTCAACTATGAGTTGTTTATTATTTATTTAACTCAAACTACTTTTATCTATCTGGGCATTTTTTGTCAGTATTAAGGGGAAACCTATGAGTGTTCTGATGTGTAAAAATCAGTTGATGTGTACTGGTGAAATAAATCAATATAACATCCAAAAAACCCTTTTTGAATTTTGTGAATTGCCTGAAATAAAATCACTCACAGCCCTAAAAGTGCTATAAAACATGTAGATACCAGGCTAAAACATATAGCATGATAGCGTGGTGTGTGGACAGTAGTCAAGGGAAGTTTCACGTTGATGGAGTGCTGAAAGCGACTAGAGGCCTTCGTGCAGGCATCACGGCAGCAGCAGTCAAGATCAGTTTTTTCTTCAAAAGTCTGGCTCTGGTTGGCTGATTTGCATAGTTGAATACGTTTTTTGTAATCATCTGATGCTATTGGATATGACTAAACCCACGTGACTAAACCCACGTGAAAAAGAGCGGCAGCTTCCTTAAGCCAATTAAAACATTCCATCCCAAAATCTCAAACCCATACACAGGATACTCAGTCGTACCGTTTAGGAAAAAACAGTGTATATTTACCGATAAACACTGTAATATTTTTATAGTCTGCTGACACCATCAATATTCTCCAGAGGAAACTGGTTGTAGTGACGCTCATTTTCCTCTAATTATTAATTCGGAGCGCTTTGCTTTCAAGGAAGCTGCCATGAAACCGCACAGAGGCACTTCTGTGCAGCTACTCGCAGAACGGAAAATATTCCACCACACAGCACCCCGGCTCTCACGAAGCACCGCGTCTCACTTCTTGCCTCCTTTGTTTTTTGAATCATTTATTGCTGGCGTCGAGGCCGGAGTTGCTCTCTGACCTGTGATTGAAGCCGACCCAGTGGGGCGCGGTTGTGGCGGAGAGCGATCCATTTGTACCACTGCAGCCCGCTAATGGGATCCTCGTTCCCATGTGCCTATTGGCACTGCTGTTTTTCCCGTTAGGGAATGATGTCATCACAATGCAGGGGTGGAAATGCTCGGTGTTGAGTCAGAACTTCTGCAGCAGTAAGTAGAAAGTAAATCAGTGCAGCTTGCAGAGTACGACTGAATGCGTTCAACAGTCCGCTCGAAGACATCAGCTGCTGACGTCCTGCAGCCGACACTGTGCTCCTCCAACAGAATGGATTTTAAATGAATATTAAGTTGCCCGCAGCGCAGAACACCAGTGGAGCGCGGCCGATAAAAAGAACAAAATATCTGTGTCGGTCGATTGTGCATTCCAGCTCTGCACTGGGGAGTTTTTCTCCTCAGTTGGCAGTAGAACGGGGGGGTCACACCGACGCGCTGCAGCCCCGGTCTGCATCAGACTTCGGGAAATGTCCAAGCGGTTGTCCGCTTCGACATCCATCTGGCTGAGCGACTCATGTTTTGTTGTCACTCTGCGTAGGAGCCTCTCTCCTAACCTAATAAGGACCGGCCCCCGGTGGGGGGGGGGGCAGCCGCCCAGGACAAATGACTTGATTTGGACATTAGTGTAGGTGGATATATCACCCGCTTGTACTCTCATCTTTGGGCCGTTGCACTCAAATAGGAAAGAACACGGCAGCAAGAAAGATGAACTCTTGCTGCCGACTTGAGAACATTTATTTAGTTTTTGGGCCCCTGTTTATTCTTTCTGTGACAAATTGCCAGCGGAGGTCTGTTGACTGGATTGTGTTTTGGTAATTTGCCTCCGGGGGGCCGATCTGATGTCCTTTAAGTGTCGTTATCCTCAGATGTCAATTGCAGTTATTTGATTTGTCACTCTTAGTGTTGATCTATAAAACGTGTATTTATTATAAAACAAATGCATCAAGATATTCAAGTATAACTTTAGGTATATGTGTGTGTGTGTGTGTGTGTGTATATAATATATAGTGTATGTGTGTTTTTCACAGCCAACAGTTTTAATTAAACTTTTGCTTAACAGTCAAAAAATGTACAGAAATCCAAATTCTCCACGTGGCCCCAAAGCGTCCAGCACGAGGCTTTGGTTTGAGTGGAATGATGCTGCCGTGAAATAATCAGTAACCGTGATGGGCAATCACGTTTTGCACTAAATAATTACACGCAAGTACTTATCTCCTCCAATCAGATGTGAAATAAATTGGGGGCGGGGGGGGGATAAAAATGATTTTCAGTTCAGCCGACGGACGGCGGTTTGATTGTGTTGTGTGTGATTCGCCAGCCGCAGAATGATGATGATGACGATGATGGTTTTAATATTATTACAAAGCCGGAGCTGTTGGGGCGGCTCCCGAATGCCCCTCCGCCCTGCAGCTGACACCCTCCTGACAGGAGCAGGCGTAGCTGCTGGGAGGTTTAGCACGCAAGTGCTCTGTGTGCCCAACGGATTCACGTCCTCCCGAGTGCGCCGCAGAAGCCCCCTCGCCTCCAGGCCGCATGACCTCGCCCCCCCCACCACCCCTTCAAAAGAGCTGCGGGCCCCAAAAGGCGCGTTAGGAGGAGAGGTCTTTGTGACTAAAGCAGACACGGCGCACGCAGACGTGACTGCCGGCGGCTTCGTGCGGAGAGCGACGGAGCGACGGAGGACGTCTGGGGTCGCCGAGCGTCTCATCCCTCACAC